ATTTATGATAATTGAACAACTTGTTATTTGTAGAAGTTGAAAATATTTTTAAGCCAATAATGTAATATGAGTCATTATGCACTGAGAAGATTTATAAAAGCAGGCCTGTATTTCTACTTCTTAAAATTGGAGGTTGGTGTTATGAGCAGAAGGCCTGATCTTCATTTATACTACAAAATTTGTTCTTTTTTCAGTGGAAAAGTGATTTAAGGGAGAAGTAAAGAAATACAAAAATGAAGCTCGTTATGCTGTTAAGAGAGCAAAAAACTCAGGCAAGGAGTTTCAGTTCCAGGTTTTCAAGATAGTGGTGGTGAGAAGAGGTTGGCCCAGGTTCAGCGAAAGTTGCAGCAGGTAAGAAGCTGTCTGAACTCAACAAACAGCAGAAAAAGAGGAAAAAAATAGGAAAAGAAGATAAGTCTGTTTCTGCCTCCAAAGAGGAAGGTAACATACTAAAGCTAGGAGTTGGAGTAGAGAAACTGGAGGGCAGAGTGTGGTTGGTGAGATACCAGCAGAATAGCTGGGAGATGTGTAGTTGTGGTGTCAGCACAGCAGAAAGGATGGAGACAGCGAAAAGCAGTTTCATATAAATAATTACTATACATTTTACAGAGCTAAAAATGTAAAATATACTGTTTAAAACTTGATATGCTTTATACAAAGAAATCATATCTACTGAAAGTGTACAGCAAATAGCTACTAAAACATACCTAGTTTGATGTAAGCTTTATCTTAGAGTCAAATATCATGGCTGTGAATCGTGTCTGTGCTGCAGGGGATTTCTCTCCTTGGTAAAGGAGAAATTTGTCATGAAAGGGAAGAAAAAGCAGGCAGTGATTTCTGTTCCAAATATTATATCATGGAATCATAGAATAAGTTGTAGGGTGACTTGGTGACTTAGCTTGTTGAGCATTTCTTGTTTGAGTTACAAATTGGATATAGAGTAATAAATGAGCTGTAGTGATGCCAGATAGATAGTGCTAACTTTTAAAAGGGCAGGCAATGGAGGGCAAAACTAAAAGGGCAAGGGCAATCTGTTCTGAAATCTAAAAATAATAGGTTTATTGTGTAATTAACCTGCAATTAAAATATACTTTTTTTTTTTTTCCTGGAGTGGATTTTTTAAAGGGTTTTTTGTTTTGTTTCTGTTTCCAAATTAGCTTTCTATTTTACCTGTTTCTGCTCCTAGGAGCGAGGTCTTAAACCACAGGGAGATATTTGAGGGGAACCCCATGTTTTTCACTGTGAATGTTGGATTTCTGACAGCTTCTCTGGAAGGAGCATATTGTTACCAAAGGCTATTGCGTAGCCTAGTATGATAGAATCATGGAATTACCAAGGTTGGAAAAGACCTCTAAGATCATCCTGTCCACCTATCACCAATATTACCCAGCAAAGAGGGTACCTGTCCAAACCACGGGCTGCCTGCTTCTCCAGGAGATTACTGTGGAAGACAGTATTGAAGGCTTTGCTGAAGCCTAGGTGGAATACATGAACAGCCTTTCCCTCATCCACCAAGCAGGTCACTCAATATTAAATTGGTCAAGGACCCATGAACCCATTCTGGTTGAGCTGATCCCCTGGTTGTCCCTCACATGACATGTAATCTCTTTCAGGGTGATCTGCTGCATCTTATCTGGCACTGTGGTCAGGCCTGTAGTTCCCCAGATGCTCCTTATGGCCCTTAGGGGAGTGACACTGGCAAGCCTTCAATCCTTAGGGACTTTTCTGTTTGACCAGGAACGCTGATAGACGATGCAAAGCGGCTTGGCTATCACCTCTGCCAGCTTTCTCAGCACCTTTGGATGGATCCTGTCTGGTCTCATGGACCTATGGCACTCCATTTGGAGTAGCATGTCTTTAACTGTAGTTGCAGCCTTAACTGTTATAGGGGGCTTGGAACAATGTTGTGATGAGATTGTGCTCTGGCACATAAATGACAAAATTCAGATAACCTGTTATAGTCAGCATGTTGTGTTCTCAATAAAATATTCTGAGGGCCTCATTCTTGTGAAATGGGCATTGCCTTCCACAAGCATCTACTTTGCCAGGTAACTGTGCTTTGAGTATCTCATACAGGGCATAGTTCCTAATTATTTGGCACAGGAGCAGTTAAACTGAAGGTGTCAGGGTGGACCCTTGATATCAGTTTCAGCATTTGTTGATGTTACAGAGTGACCAGGTGCTTATTTTCTGTATCAGTGGTTAAAAAAAGATTTACTAAACTGGGCATTTTTTTTTAAACAAAGCAATCTGAATGCTGATACTGGAGCAGACAAACCATTGCAGAACATCTCCATTTGTCAGTAAGCTTTTTGCAGCTACCAGACTATCTCTGTCTGTTTGTGGAGGTGCTGTGAAAGCAGTCAGTTGCATGAGCTAGAGAAAGAACCAGCTACTAAATTGAATTCCAGCTTTACCCTAACAATAGATTAATTTTAACCTATTTTTCCCAATTTCTACTCAGTTTTAAAAGAAGGATGTGGATTTCTTAAAGCTTCTTTATGTTTTCATGCTTAACTTTTTTCCAGCAGCAAACAACTTACTGTCATCTCTATTCTGCTGGAAAATATTGGTGGTGAATGGTGATCTGTGATTGCATAACTTTGAAAGTCAGCATGTATTCTTTTAAAAAGATATACAAGAAAATTAATTCATCTGAATCAAATACCGACTTTAAAATATATTTGTTAATGAAGCAATTTCTCTGTAGAGTATAAACTGAGGATATTTCAGATCAGGATTCTGATATACTGGACCAGTATTCTGGGGGCAGATGGCTACTTTCAATCACACAAACAGCAACCAGCATTCAAATAATTAGCTGATTTGGGAGTGCTTGGGGTCCAAAGAAAGGGAGAAGCAAAAAGCTAAATTCAAGGGCTGGTTATTTGGCAAAATCTCTTTTACTTCTTTAGAGATGCAGGGAATTTTTCTTAATCTGGGATATTCAGTGCAAAACTAAAATGCAGATTTTTATGAAGTCTGTTTTTTTTAACGTTTTAATACAGAACTTTTATAAAAAATTTACAAGTACAATTTTTTTAAAATATGTCTTTGAAGAATGAATATTTAGTGTCCATTTTGAAAGCTTCCCTCTATTTTTGGAGGATTTCCCCTGTGACATTGACATTCAGTGAAGGAATTAATGCTTGAAAGTCTTTTGGGGGAGCAACAATAGAAATGTCCCATGATGTCAAATATAAGTTTTGGAGTCATTTTGGGAAGTTATGTTAGATTATTTATTGTGCTGAAGTATCCTAGACTTATCTTGTCTTCTCTGCAGTTATACCATCTTTCCAGGTGAACAGATCATCTGCCAATCAAGGCTTTTTTTTTATTTTTCCATTTTTTCTTAGTCAAACCATGATAGGATTTGGAGTAGTTCACTCAATTCAGTGACTTTTTATTAGTGAGAGATCTAATCAAGAATCCCTGGGCCCCTGGGGAATGCAAGTTTTGTTTCACTTTCTAAGAAAGGAAAGAAAGTGAAATCAAATAAGGAAATTATAATATACAATCTTCTTTTACAGTAGTCCACATGAAAAACGAGGGGCTGTCCTCATCCATATTTATACCACAAGTGGTTCCCATGTTCAACAGACTACCATGCTGCTAATCTCTTTGCATTTTTTTCCAAATCTCATTCTCACCCAAGGTGAAAGTATATTCCATTTATTAGATGTGCATTGTGAGCTATTTTTTTCTTCCTTTCTTACAGGTCTATGGGATTTAGTAAGTCAGCAAGACTTTTTGTACATTTGGGGATCAGTGTAAATAAAATACTATTTCCACTTGCTGCTATTTCAGTGGATTAGGCAGTGCATCAAAACATTACATATTAGCTTCAGTGATAATACCTCAAGGTCTCATAGATTTGCTGGGACTGTGAGTTTCCTTGATGCTACCTGAGATCCTTGCACGTATTTCTCATCATGGCACTGTTGACAGAACTGTCTGATAGTCTTTGTGATGAAGTTATAGACTTTATCACAGGAGTTCTGCAGTTGTGTTCTAGTTGATTCATCTTCTCAACAACTGAAAATCTGAATATTGTTTAAATTGTACTAATAGAAAAGAAATGAAGATTAAAAAAGAAAAGTTCCAAGAAAAAATCTGAAGTGCAGTAGCATACTAGCAGTGGCTCTGATGTGTGTTGTGTCTTGGTAAGCTCCTCTTCCAAGTCCAGCTTTCAGGGGATTCTCAGGTTTAGCAAAAGGAACCAAAGTAATTGGTCTAGGTGCCCACTTATAACTTGAGCCCTAAGAGAAGTTATTATGCAGGCAAGTCTATTAATTGTAGCATCTCAGAAGATTGGAAATGCTCCATTGAAATATAACACATCCTCTAGAAAGAATAGCCAGATAGATTGCTCAGCAAAGCAGAGCACAGTTTATAACTGTAATCTATGTGCATAATATTTCAATGTTTGTGTTTTGCTTCATGTCTGCTGTTTGGTCAGGCTTAATTGATTTAACGTGCTTTGTTTTTATTTACAAAGACATCTGTTTTTCTATGTAGCGTTATAACTAATACCTGCAAATATAAAGTGTTCAATGCTGTTTCATGACTGTATTGATATTTCCCTGTGTACAATGTCTAAAAAACTGAGGCCCAGAGGTCAAATTTTTATATCTAAGGAAGATCTTTAAGTAGTGGCTTCACTTTTCCATGTTTCAAGGTAATAACTGTAGAGTAAAGGTAGATTATAAAGTGTATATGAGAAGCATCAAGCACAAAGTTACTCTCTATGGAAAGAGCAACTCTAACTTCAAGCAGATGTTGATTTGTCTCTGTATATGGTGTTTATATATATGTATCCTTTTCTTATTTTATTCTTTCTCATGCATCATTCATTTTATTGTTGTTAAAAACTGCAACTTAAGTACAACAAAACAGCACCAGTGGTTGATTCTTCCAGCAATTCGTTTCCAAAATACTTGGTTTTGTTGGTGATGATAGTAATTAATTTGTTCTTGCATTTTCTTTCCTTCTTTTCATAGTGCTAGGACTCCCATCTGCCATCAGATGACTTTCTGCCTGACTGAGCTGCACCTGTGGTCTTTGAAGACTACCTTACGTATTAGCGGTGAGCTGTTACCTGTTATTAAACAAAACAGCAAAGCCTGTTGATGAATATTAGATTAATATAAAATTCTGAATACTTAAATGAAGTAAGTTTTAAGCTTAGGAGAAAGAAAATTAGAAAGCAAGATTATGTTTGAACTTAGTTTCTTTGCTTATCTCGTCATAAAACTGGAGCATCCTTTCAACTCAGAAATGTTGAGATTATATTTAATTGGTTGCCTTTTCACTTTTGGGAAGCTATACCCTACTCGACTATTAGCTTCAGTGTAGTAACTAATTTGGGTGAATGAAGATCAATAGTCAACTTGATCTGCAGTGGCATTTTGATTTGTACTTAGCATGAAAATAAGAAATTGCTTCATGTTCTGGGTATTTTGCATGATTATGTGAAGCTTTGTACATATAAGGAAATACTAATATTATTAATTGATTATTCTAGGAGACACGTAACTATTTACCAGCACTTCATTCACCTTGTTTTACTTTTGCTAAAGTAAAAATAATCAAACCCTACTGGGTTATAAATGGATCATATTGTTTATGACACTTCATGCCCATTGTACTATATTTTCATATACCAATCAAGTATATTATTATTATTCAAATACTGACTCAATATGCCATAGCAACCTGTCTGTGTGTGAGAACTGTTCTGGTTTTGTAACAATTTTATATATATATATATATATGTATGTATGTATTTTTAAGTTGGGTTTCATGGAAAATTCAGATGGCTTGAGTAAGCATATAATTGTGATCTGCTGTAATTGAAGATGTACTGTGGCATACTATACCTATTTTCCACCTTTGACCTTCAGACTTCCTTCTTCTGCACTTATTTGTTATAAAATCCTGAGATGGAAGAGAGTGCTGTCTCTTATTGCAAAAGCTACCTGCCATGGCATTGTCTTTCTACATTTCTGCACATGAATTTCTCCCGATAACATCTTTTGAGTTTAGAATGCATTTAGAATGACATGCAGTGTCAAATAAATTGTTTTAAAACACTGCAAGTTTAACTCAGACTTAGATCTATTGGTGGAGCTTGCCATGGTATACCGAAGTATTTGGTAGTCAGCCACATCACAAGCTGGCTTACAGTCTCATGGTAGCCCAAGCATTGAAATTTCTTTGCCATGGAACCTGGAGGACAGAGGGGGATGCTCTGGGTAGGTGCACACTTGTTTCATGCTGATAGGCTGTTGGTATATAGCCAGGGCTTGCCCTAAGCCATAGGGATAGATACATGCTTTTGCATCTAGTACAACAGTAGGCAGTAATACCTGTGGATCAATATTGGATCCTTTGGATAGGCAGCTTCCTGAAATTCACAAATGTTAAAAAAAAAAAAATTACTGTTGGCTTCAACTTGACTCAGAAAACATTTCTTGTTATTCTAAGATACGGTCTGCACTGTGTTTTTTACCTTTTGTTGTGAAAGAACACAAAAGATGGTCATTAGGAAGGTGGCAAAAAATACTTTTAAGTGTTGGCAGCTGGAAGAGAATCAAAGCACATATGAAATGAGAGCTGCAAATAAATGTAAGGACCTGGCATGTACTCCTTCAGCGCTAGCTTGCTGATTCTTGAAACTCTAACTGGTGTTCAGAATATATTCTGCAGTTTTTCCACTCTAGCTCGCATTTTAACTCCAAGTACTTTGCTCCAGCTTGCTTGAATTGTGATGCTGAACTTTGCTTGCTAAGTTATGTTTTGTTTCCAGTATCACATCAATAACTAACTGTATTTCTATTTGATTATATAGATGAAGACATTGGGGTACATCAGTACTACGACAAGAAAGAGCCAGGTAAAATAAACAGACATAATTAAAACTAAACAGGACTTCCAAATGTTCAGGGTTCTTTGACAGAGACAGTTAGCTCTGAAAACTTCAGTTTTGAATTTTTTTTTTTGAATTTCTATAGAGTAAGTAGGCATGACTAGAGATTCATGTACCCAAGTTACTTCAGAGTATTTAAAAACTCTTTAATCAAAAGGAAAAAAGAAGGATTTGGGAAAATATTTACGTAACAAAGTACTGTGTGTAATTTAATATCTCTCCAATACAAATAAAATTTTAAAAAACAAGCTTTGTGCCATCAAAACCTTATTGGAATTTTATATTTTGTTTTTATATTCTGTTTCTGTATTCTTTTCACCTATTGCAGAATGCTAAACCACTGCTCAGGGACTGTGCTTCACTGGGCATGCAGGTGCTGGCTGTTGCAGGAATTCGGGATTTGCTGCATCCCAGCAGAGGGCATCATGGATGCACAAGTGCTGGTCTGGCCTCCTGCAGCCGTCACTGCTATCTGAAATAGCCATTTCAGAGTGAATGATCAATTTTCCTTATCTGATTAATCCTGTTAATCCTGGAAGTTTCACGATGGGCCAAAAGGTCTCTTCAGCTGGAATTGCTTCCCATTTGCAGCCAGGTTGGAGTGGAAGCTTGTGTGGGCATCCCATGGGCTCGGTGTGGTGGGTCACCCGCTGTCTCTGTGCCTCTGCTGATAGACCGACTCAGCTGCTTCTGTGTGTTCAGTTGCAGCTCACTTCACTATCTGATGAGACTGGAGGCTCAGTAATACTGGCCCACCTGTTGGGCCTCATAAGCCTTTCTTTCACTGCAAATTTAAGATATCTGACTTAAGAGGTGAAAACATCAGGACTGTCTTAATTTTTTTTGTAAATTTCTGTGTTTTATCACAATGTGTGACTCCTCTCTAATATTAATATTTGCTGACAGCAGTTGTAAGGATTATCGTTCACCTTTTCATCTGTTCTTTTCTCTAGGATCACAAATGAAGCATGGTTATTTAGAAGACAAGCAAAAGCTAGCAGAATGTAAGGATGTTTTCTCAGGTTCTTGTTATAGTAAGACAGAATTATTGTTTTGTATTGGTGATACAACTGAAGGAACTTAAAACATAACCTCAGGCTGTGTCCAATGTAATTTTCTGTGTATGCCATTTTGTCACAGGATTGCTAACAAAACAGTAGAAAAACTGTAACTACTCCTTCCTGACATATTTGCAATGTGTTTTGTTTTGGTCTTTTTTCTATTTCACTAAGATTAGTAGTGTGTATTGCTTCTCAAATCCATTATCAAGAGGTGTCACAAAAATGAAAGTTACCCACCATATGAGCCTAAAATATTTTCCCACTTAGCTCTTGCATCAAAACACCGACTGCGTCAAAACTGAAAATTATAGCTAAGATGTTTTCATCCAAAATCAATTTACAGGTTAATAACCAGCTGTCCTCATAGAACACTTTTAGTTTTGAAACATGTACGTGGTTCCTGCATTATCAGTTTAAAAACAGTTTGGATTATACAATCATATGGCAGTACTATGATAGGTAAAGATTTTTGTATGTACAACCTTTCTCTAACTTGAAATTTGCAACTCTTGCACAGCTATTATTTCTCAGTATACATTAATGGTCAAACATTATTACATGACAACTATGGACAATCTAACTCACTTTTTGAAGTTTCACAAAGTAGTATATATGCTGGAAGAATTCCCTTAACATTGCATCATATCATAATGAAAATTGTATGTAGAATTGTGCATGTGTTTGAAGGCAAAGTGTGTTCTGGAAAGAGAAGTTATTTGCAGCACTCTAAGTTAGGTTTGAAGCAGGATGAAACCCTGCTGGAGAGTGTTATAAAGGTGCACACAGCTGTGTGGTAAATCTATACCTGCTATGGAGGGTTGTGTGTCAGAATCAATACAGCTCTGTAAAGAGGGGAGGTGAGAAAGGGTTTTAAGTAGGGAGGAGCATAAAGGATTTACATCCCTTGTGCTTCATGTAGCATTATCAAATAGGCACTGGCTGTATGAAAAGAAGCAGGCTCAGATAAATCCAGTTATACAGAAACCTCAGAAGCATGCAACAGAAGCATGCAAAAGAACACAAGCTACTACATCTTGTGGCTGTAAATATTGGAGTGGCCTAAACAGAAAACAGAACAGACATTTCTTCAGGAGGAGTGCTGGGTAACTTTATTCATGGCTGCTGATTTGTGTATTTATAGTTTAGCATCCGTACAGGCAATTTCCCATTTTGCAAGTGTGGGTACATATTCCAGTATTTGTGAAGGCAGTTATTGAAAATGTGATCTTACATGCCTAATTAATATTATCGTAACAGTTCCGCCAACACTAGCTTTTGTCCAATAAAATACAAAGAGAAGGTGTATATTTGTGTGTTCTTTTGTTGATAGATGAAATCCTTTTTTTTTTTTTCCCCACTCTAGAGCACTCCTTCTTGTAGGGAAGTTTAAACACAACTGTTTAAGTCATTCAGTCTGGAAGTTGGTGTACAAACTGACAGCTTAAAGCTCAAAACTTTTAATCAGGTTTCCCTTAAATGTACTAGATTTTAAAAAGACAGTGCGTTCTAATTTCTCATGTTGTTTATTGTGTACTTAACAAAAAACTGCTCACTTTTAAATAATGCAATTTCACAAGCCTGATTCTCAGCCATGAAACAAGCCTACTACTAAGCAATTCCAGTAAGCTTTGCCTCCTGTTTTCAGAGTTAATGTATTGCCCCCTGACTTTCAAAATATTTTGTTAAATATTAATAATTTTTGTTAAAGGACTGTGGAAGTCATGTGGTTTCTGATTTGCTTGACCAGGCAGATTCTTAGGAACAAATTTTCCAAGAATAAATCCTGTAAATAATTGTACTCTATAATATAACCTATATTGTTCACAGTTACCTGTTGTTAATACCTCTATATATGCATGTATTCATGCATAAATGTTTTACAGACACGTCAGTGCCTGCTTTCTGAAATTGGGCAATGAAATGTTAGTTCTAAAGAATAGCACCTGTTGAAGATTTGGTAACTTGAATCTGAGTTAACATACTGAATGTGAGATGCTTTCTCATTGCAAATGCTTAGCTGAGTAGGATATTCCATCCTGAGAGCTTTGTGCACAATTGCTACTGGTGAATTCATCGCCAGTGTGGATATCTCACGCTAACTGTTCCTACAGTAGAGCTTTTCAAAAGGAAATCACTTCACAATAGAAACCGTAGCCATTTCTTTCCAATTGTAGGTAAGTTTTATGTTTAAGGTATCTCCTAGAAAACCTAGTTTTATATTTCCACAGCAAAAGTAGTTCAAGTTGTAGAACTTTTATTATATTTTTGGCTGTTTGCATGCACACATGCACGTGCACACAGTCACGTGTATGTATACACACCTATATATAATTTTTTTTAAAAAAAAAACTTTTTTTGCTTCTTTTATTTGCCAGCTCGAGATTACCCTTGGATATTGAAAAACAAACGGCCGGAAAAACTGCGAGATACACTCAAGGAGGTTGAGGTATGTTTCAGAACTTTCAAGAACAGTAACAAATGATCTGGTTTTCAAACCCCTTTCAACAGCTTTAATTTTCATCAAGATCCAACTGTCCCTGTGTTGATAAATGTGCTGTTGTCTGGCGGGCGGTTCCACAACTGCTGGATCTTTGTGTGGTGTGCTTCACCTATGAACTTGAAAATCCAAAGTAGGTTAACTGATACTGACAATGCATACTGCCAACTCCATTCTCTGTTTTCTGTTGTCTTTTAGGACTTAATGCAAAACAGTCGATGTGTGCTGAGCAAATGGAAGAACAAACGTATCTGCCAGGTAGAATGTTTTGACTAGCTCTTGCAATGTTCATTCAGTGAAGCTGAACAACCATTCAGTGATGGATGTGATAGCGTTAAAACGTTAAATAATACTGAAAGTCATTGGGGTTTTTTAATGTACGAGGCTCTTATTACCTGGATTGTGTTTATTTAAGTTCCTAATATGAAATAGATACTACAAAACAAAAATCTGGGTTTTATCCACAGGAAAAATTATATGAACGGTGCCTGATTCTGTAAGAATTTATTATGGGGGAAAACTGGAAGCACCCTTGGAAAAGCAGACTAAGAGAATAGTTACAATATATAGACAAGTCTGGAATCTGTTATATTACGTTTTTTATCTTAATTACTTACATCTCTGTTGTGAAGCTTTTTACTTTATGCCTATATAGTATGGGAGGGAGACTGTAAGCCTAAGCTAGCTAAATTATAAATAACAGAGCAGAAGATATTGTGATATGCTGCACATGTATTTATGTTCTCTGTCTACCTAAGTTCCATTTTTGTATACAAAATATAACTTTTCACATCCTCATTAACACAAAGTAGTAGGATAGGTGGGAGAGTGGCACATTAAGCATATGCTTTAGCTTCTTAATCAAGAGTTGGCTCTGAAAGACATCTGTAATATATATAAAAGTAACTATATCCTTCATTGTTTATGAGGAACATGCATGTTTAAAGCTAATTTTGCATTGTAGATACTTGTGTTACTGTTTCTAAAAAGAAATTGAGTTTTAACTTTTATCCTTTTCTAGTTTCATAATTTTTTTTTCTAATCCAAGTAGTTTCAAATGGATATCAACTGGATGACTGTTAAATATTTGAAATATATTGCTGAAATTCCTGAAAAGTCTTTAGGAGCAGCAAGGTTTTTTTAAACACCTGACGCATCAAGTGCTATAAAGTCTTTTTGTATCAATAATAAAGATGTTGTTGTCTAAGCCTATCAGATTGTTTTTGCCTATCAGATCTTATCATTAACAAATGTATATAATTCGTATACAGATTACATATTATTCATCAGTGAACGTTAATCTTCTAGAATGGATTTAAATATTAATTGCATGCTAATTTAGATGATTTTTTTTCTGTTGTTATTGTTCTGATTAGAAAAGGAATGTGGTTAAGAAATACTAAGTCAATTAGCCGTGTGTTCATTTGCTTCTCAGTTTGCTGTTTCTTCATTTGCTTTCCCAGTCCCTTTTGCTATCATTTTCCTTCTCCTCCCATCTGTATATGCATAGACCTGCATCCCCTACCAATGCATACTTTGGAACAGTGCAATTCTTGCCAAAATTTGATTGTTCTTTATAACATCTCTATTTGTGTATAAAACACTATTTTTAAATTTAACATCCTCTAAATAATTTCAAGCCTACATAAACAAAGAGCAGGCAATACAAGTTAACTTATTAATTATTCATAATGAGAAATAAAGCAGATGGCTCTATATTGGATTGAATCATATAAAGGGATATAACCTAATAAATTGAGTAATTTTAAAAGTTTTTTAGATGATATATATAGTAGGTAGCCAGAGTTAAAGTTACAGACAAAAGTCCCATTCATCTCTTTCTCCTTATATTTTACTTTTGGTTTCTCAATCACAAAACAAGATATTTATAATATCGTAATGACTGATAACTGAACTTGCCAACAGCATTCATAATTTTCTGCCAAAATGATGGTGATATTCCACCTTGTCATCTTCAGTAATATAAGCTGCTCAACGAATGAAGATAAAATATGAAAAATCAACAGTTTGGAAGGATCTTGATTAGAAAACCTGTCGAGTATCAATGGTTATGTTTGCACTGCTCATCTGCCTTTGAACATTCATGCAGGAAAAAAAAAGACACGTTTTGAAATTCTGAAAAACAGATTATCCACTTATTTTTTTTAATTTAGAACAGGAGATTGATTCACTAGAAATGTTGTGATCCTTACAACAGCACAGATGTATTCACATTCTGCTTTGGATAGATACCAGAGCCAGCTGTTCATGGAAAAAGGAGAGACCATGTTTGCATTAACTTTCAAGTGTAGTAGAAAGCAACAACATGAAAAGCATGAAATAAACTGGTGTGTCATAATTTTCAGTGTTTTGGGCTAAATTTGATACAAATGAGTGGTGAGGCCCTGGAACGGGCTACCCAAGGAGGTGCTTCAGTCAGCATCCCTGGAGGCGGCCAAGAAATTTGTAGATATGGTACTAAGGAACATGGTTTAATGGGTATCATTGGAGGATGGTTGGACTGGATGAACTTGGAGGTCTTTTCCAACCTTAGTGATTCTATGATTCTACGATTTGAATTCTAGCATCTTCATTTTTTAGTTCTCCATTCTATAATAGTAGTGTAGTGCCAAATAAATTCTATAATAGAAATTAAAATAATTAACTCAACAACCGTATCTCTTTTCAATAATTGTTCTGTGTATCTGAATCTGCTGTATCTCTACCTGAGCCAGGAAGTGTTCTTTTCCTTAGTAATAAAGATATGCTATGTGAAAACTCAATGGTCACTGTATCTTTAGTAAGACAGAATGAATAGAAAGAAAAAAAAAAAAAGTTAACTGAAAGGAGATATGATGATAGCAATACTGTAAAAAAAAAAAAAATAGCATGAGTTCTCACTGTGCAAAAAAAACAAACAAACAACAACAACAAAAAAACCAAGCAGAGGACTGCTGCTAAAAATCATTATTACTAATCCCTCATTGCCTCCTCCAAATCTTCTAGCTTCTAAATAGCCTGCAGGCAAAAATCACAGACTGTGAATTTAAATGTGCATCTTCTAAAAATAAGTTTGCATGTAATGACCAATTAGCCTTCACTGAAAAATATAGTTAGCTTGCATGCAGATTATCCTTTGTATGCATGGGTTTCTCAAAATTGGCTCTTGTAGATGAGTTTGCCTAGAACTACTGTTATGCTGTCCCAGCTTTATACCTTTCTTAATGTTTCATTTTATGCATCAACATTTCTCCTATTTTTTGTGCACAATCAGTGTATTGCTAAAGAAAATCTATTGACCTTTATTTTTGCAGTCTCCAGTCTTTATTCAGGTAGTGCTTAGAGCTTCTGAAATAGAAAGTGTGCCAGTTCATGTAAACATAGGCTGGACTGTATAGAGATTTTTTCAAGGAATTTACACTCCTATTTAAAAGAGCTTAGTTGAGCCCTAAAGGGCTGAGCTCTTTTCTTTAACTTCATTCCTACTAGTTCTAGTAGGATCTGAATGCACACCATTTCTTTATAGTACTTCGGAACCCCAACTTTGATGACTTTTGATGAGCTGCTGAAATAATCCTGTAATCTTCTGTTAGCTGGTGTCAAAAGAAAGTAAAAAGAGACCATAAAAGAAGTGTGACAGAAAAAAGACAAGACGCCTTTACAATAAAAGGGCACTGTATTGTTTATAATTAAATTGCTTTTCCCTGTCTGGAAGTAATAATCTAAGGAATTAACTTTATCAATACTTTCAAGTATAGTTTGAAGAAGTTCTGATTTCTTCCCTTCCGTGGTCTCCTCTAATTCTTTGGAATGTTTTTAAGTTTTACCACAAAATCATGAAATTAGTCCCATGAAATAATGCTGTTGTTTCAAGTTTGGTTTAACAGCATAGGGTTGTAGAAATTAGTATGATGTAGCTGCAATATTTGATTTCCAACTTTTTTTACATTTGTATATCAGTGTAGAATTGAGTGCATGCTAACAGAGAATTGTTTTATAAGTAAGTGGCAAGCAATGGATGTGAATCATATCAGTTACCTGCTAATGAAAAAGATTATGTATTCTGTGCTTAATAACTATGATCTAACCTGATTTGTGTTGCAATTTACATAAGTACATGAATGGTTTTTAGGTTACCATCACTGACATACATAAAACTGAATTGAGATACAGCAATATGTGCTGACACAGCTTGTTATATCAGCTACTGTGCCCATAAGCAAACTGATTTAGCAAGATATGTGGTGACATACAGTAGTGCAACTGATAGCAAAATCAAGACATTAGGTCTAGAAGACTTGAGAAGCAAGTATCCATCACCAGTTAGTAAGAGGAACACTGCCCTCCTATTAAATTAGTTTGGTTGCTTTTGATCACAACTATTACTGTGTTGTGTGGTTTGAGAGATTTGGAGCTAGGAATACAAATGCATTGATTGTTGTGAAACAGTAACATGTAACAACAGTAACTTCATTTGTAATAAGGCATGCAACAGAGTAATTACAGTAGGGTGGCTAAGAAAGCAAGCTGGAATGAAGAGGTGGGGAAAAACCCTGGGAACCTGCTTGAACAAGAAGTGCTTTGCAATTCTCTTCTCCTTTTGCATATTCTTTTGTCAGTTGGACTCTGTAAGGGAAAACAGTTTGGAGCAGTATTTTTTTTACAGGCATATTTTTCTTCTCTTCCAATTTTAATCAGATAGAGGCAAATCCTGGCTTTGCTCTGCAGGTATCTTTCTAGGTAGAGGGGCTGATAAGGAGCTAAGCTGCATGAATGAGGAGTCAAGGGCTATGGCTTCCAAGGATAAAGGAATTCATTTAAGTGCATGCTTAAGATCTACTGAAGTTCATTGGTTTTGAGTATGTACTTAAGTTCTTTGCTTAGTAGAAGCAATACACATATGGAGCACTTTGCTATTGGTGAAGGGAAGGGCTCTGTCATTCTGTAAGTATCCTTTGCTCCTTCAAATATCTTGCTTGCCCATCTTAGAGCCATTTTGGCACACAAAGTTCATAATTCCCTGTACCAAGTCTTGTTCAGCTTCCTGGTAACATAGGCTCTCACTGGCTCTTCTTTTCAAGTGTGTCAGTTCACCAGATGCCCTAACATTTAGCTCATACTTTGTTCAAGCATAAATATATTCTTCCAAATAGGCATGATGCCATGTTCTTATGTTTAAGAGCACTTTGAGACTATTAAAGCTGTATCAATGTCTCTTCTGATTCCCATTTTTCACGTCACAGTACTTCAGTCTGAAAGGTTTGTGATTTATTTCATTAATGTGGTTTTTTTTTCCCCCCCCTAATTTGATATCTCACAAATGGAATAACTTTGTGCCATGTATAAATAACGCCTCTGACATTTGCTTTTATTCCTTAGTAATGACGAGCAATTCCCCTGAGCGGTACTTCGTAGAGTTGGAATGCTGTGTATCTGTGTGTGAGCCAAGTTTGCAGTCTTTCCCATTTCCTCTACATTCATTCATGCTTATCATTGGACTGCTCCCATCCACCAAAATATGAGCTTAACTGCGCAAGCACACGTACAACACCTAAATCTTATTATCATGTGGCAGTCTTTGCACACAGTGTGTAAGGAATTGAAATAGTGTTGAGCAGATAAATATTTTGTTTTATAGAATATTGTTGATAAAAGATAACGTATTACTACTTCATTTAAATATCTGCTTGTATTTCATGGTAAACTTCAAGAACTATTTACATATGAAATATATATATTCTCTGCATTGTAACATTTTAATTGTGGGCCTTTTGTACTAAATGTTCGTTTTTCCTTTTAATTCCATTTCCCAATATTATTTATCCTGTACGAAAAGTTTTAGTATTCCTTTCTAACATCACATTCACGTGTTGTAAAAGACAGATGCAGTCATTATGGCTTCATCTGAGAAATGTCGAAGTGAGAGTTATGTTGCAGCTAACCACTTGCTTCATATGTATGTTATGGACTGACCTTAGTAACTTCTCTCATGCACCATCTACACTTGGAATAGACTGTCTTGAATTCCAGTTAATCGTATTTTTTTTTCCCTTCGATATATTCTTTCCATCTGAAATGCCTTTCTCAGAAGGATTCTTTTAAAGATTCCTCTGTTCCAATCAGAAGGATTTTTGAAAGGAGAAGAATATCCCTGTTCATTGCAAGTGAGTTGGATTAGATGGCCTCCAGATGTCCCTTCCAACTCTGTGCATTCTATGATTCTAAGAAATACTACCATTACCAGGCCATGTAAGGTCTTTGATTTGGATTCTAAAATTTCTAGAGGCAAGGATTTAAACCTGTAGAGCACAGGTGTAATACCAGACAGAAGTAAATTATTATAGCAAAAATTAGTTAAATTGAATATTAAGCTTTGCGTAAACATCTCAAAGTTCTGCAGAGAATAATGGGAAGGAATGTTTTACTGGCAAAGTAAAAAAAGGGAGAGTAAAGGAAATAAAAATAAAAGCCATCAAACTAATTCTTTTTAACCTATATCACTGTGTCTATGCAATATTGAAAATACCATTGATTCAATGACCAGTTTCATACAAAACAAAGGACCAGTTTCATATAAAACAAAGGACGAACATACTATAATTTTATTTATATGAGAGTCTCATCATTCACTGTGGAAGAATTTCCATAGGTGTCCATTCTAGCTCTCTAACAGGTTTGACTTATGTCATCAGAAAAAAGTGAATATATCAGCAGAAAGTAAATTTATACCTGGAAATGTGTAAGAGTTAACGAAGCCTAACCTTGTATTTCTTTATTTCTCTCAAGCCAAGAGTTGCAAGCATGTCTCTGTGCAATATGCTGCGTAGATGTATTACATGTCAGCAGAATGACAAACACACGGCCTCATTCCGTAACACACTCTCTCATTAGTGTACTGGCTAGCTACAGACCACAACACGCTTTTCTTCTGGGCTTTACCTGGAGAGAGTCAATGTGTTATCCCTTCTCTGTTAGGTAAACCAGGAGTCTACATACTTCTAATTTACCAAGGCCACCCTCCTGGTTTGACTCCAGTATGCTTTCCTCAGCCTTTGCAAGGAGCCTCAGCATGGGAACAACTCACACTCTCCTACCAGGACAGAAACTTTTCTGCAAGTTGAGCATAGCTCCTAAGCAAAGGCGGTGGGGAAGATGCAAGATGGGGAGTATGTGATTGCACTAGCTCTCTTATTGGTGCATAACACTGAAGGATTTGCAGTGTCTTTCCTTCTCTGGCTGACTGATATTCATTGAGAAATTTAGAACTGCTTATCCTAGTGTATTTATGTAATATTGCTTGATAACTATTTTCTTGCACAGTAGCTTGTCAGCTTCTGTGTTTTGACCCTCACTTTTTCAACTATCTTCTTTGGGCAATTATAGCTAACCATAGTCAGACCTTGCTAGACTTACATTATCAAGTTGGAAATAAATTGTGATTTTATCTCATCTAACTTCAACGTGAGGATAAATTGAAGTTTTGAAAGACTCTAATAAGAGCTGCATGAGTGTAACTGTGTCTAATATTTTTACTAGGACAAAACCTTAAAGGACATCTGTCATAACAGAGAATGTTGGAGCACTTTATACGTGTGTGTGTGTTTCAAACCAATGTATGTAGACTTTGGTGGGATGGGGAAAAAAAATCATTTGTTCTTAACAAATTAATTTTATATCATAGGTATTTTTTGTTTTTATTTCAGAAGTTGCTAGAATTTGTTTTTGAACTATTGTGAACTGGCAGGAAGATAGACTGAAAAAAACATTGATTAAAAATATTAGTTAGGGCAAGCAAGTAATCTATTTAAATATGCTGTTCCTGCTGTAGAGAGCACAGAACTAAAGTAATATAGCAAAATAGGTGGAGTTGACAATTTTCATAGCTAAATTGTTGGGAACAGAGCACTGAACAAGAGGCAACTCCATTGGATTGCTGCATTCTGGTTCCCAGCACTTCCATTATTCTAGCGGAGTTGCATGACATATTTGTCCTTTTGATTTTGAAACATGAATGTGTAAAACAGGAAAAATAACTGTAATGTATCCATAAGCTAAAGGAGATTCAGATAAATCATATTGTTGTTGTCTGTAACATGTATGAAAAAGACAGAAGAGCTGTGGTGTCTCACCTGATGCATGTTACTGCCAACTCAGGATCTCTCCCAGTATTATATTTTCTTGTGCACTTTGGTGCTTTTTTACTAGTGTGTTGTACTAAAAAACTAACTTGCAACTACGTTTGTGTCAGAATTATAGCATAAAACAGGCATTTGTATGCCAAATTCTACTGCAAGGACAACCATTTCACTGGTTGCAAGTTTTTAAAAAGTACTGAGATTTTATTAAAAATATGCTCTTAGGCAGAAGAGCTGGAACTCCTTACTTCTGGCCTTTGTTGAGTCCCTGCTACATTTCTTCAGTTGTTTTTCCTCTGAGCATCTCTTGCCAGAAAAGATTGCTCAGTTTTTAGGCTGATTTGGTCTCTGCTGAAGCGATAATTTTTTTTTTTAGTGATCAGAGGGAAATGAACCCATCTGCCAGGATGAGTCCTTCAGAGTTGCAACCATATGCCAGGAGCTAGAGCTGATCTGAAATGTCTTTAACTTCTATACTGAGGTCATCTATTCCAGCAGCATGTGGGATCAGAGGTGGAACTAGGTGATAAATTAAAATGCTCATCTTTTTTCAGTACTGCTTGAGAAAATCAAAGTCATTTTTCATCAAATCTTTCATTGTTTTTACATCAAGGTTTTTGCAGAGCCCAAATTTGGAAACGAGATAAACAACTATATGGTCAAATTGCTTTAAAAACCCTGACAACATCTTTCGCCATGTTACTAAGAAAGCAGTATTTTTCTTAGAAAGCTTTTCTTACACTGAAATAAAGTTGGCAAAGTAAACACCATTCAAGATTGAGAGGATTTGTGTTTGTTGTGAATGGTTTTTGTTCTAATAGTTGCATTCAGGAAGTTATCAAGTTTAATGAGTTAATTATTCAAAAAGTAATGCTTTTTGTGACACTTCCTACTATGCGTTATCTCTCTTATGCAAGATTTGGCATCAGGAAGAGCTGATAAATACGTGACTTATTCTTTGAGATTGGATGTATAATTTAATTGACACTAATTAGGCAGAAATACTCAGTTAACACTGAGAGAAGCTTCTGAATATTCTGTCCAATAGTTTGAATTTCTTCTTTCTAAGAGAGCCATGTCTGATGATATGTGAATGGGAGTATATGAATTTATTAGGAGCCCAGGGCTGCGACAGTGGTAGAGTACCATTATTTAAGTTAAACAATATACAAGTGATCAGAAATAACTGGACTTAGCAAAAAGGTGCTTTTTTTATAATCTCTGAAAGTGATATAAAACTACATGAAATGTAAGCTTGCATGCTTTTTTTAACGCAGGCTATACAATTACAGGTTTTTTTTACAGTGAAATCAAGTGATTATAGGGACAGTATGAACACATTAGGAAAACATTATACTCTGAAGGTCTATGGATGGCTTTTACGGTGTCTCAAGTTCAGTAGCTAAAAACTGCAGTATGCCCCATATTACTAGATGTATTGAAAATTCTTGACCAACTGTTCATATACAGAAGCACGTAAATAATAATGCATAAACATTAAATAAGAGCATATTTAAATGCTTAATAAATAATGGTTTAATTAATTAATAAGTAAGCATTCAAATATGATGTGGAAAAAGTAAAAGCAAGAAATGTAAGAAATAATTTCTTGACTGTTAAGAGTGATCAATTTATCCCACACTCATATGACAGAATTTTGGTTTTGTTTTTTAGAAGGCAAATTCAGTACATTGTATTCAACACTTAGGATCCAGCATGCACCATCTTCAATTGTTATTCATTTGTAATTCTTGTAGCCACATGATTCAGTGTCATATTACACCTCTCTTTTTCATTGAAAAAGCTTTCAAAGTTATTATAAGACATCTTCACATCTAAGATAAAAGTCTTCTTCATAATTTTGAAAATTAAATCACCACGTAACAGCTGCTAATACCTACCTTGGAACGTTTCATATTATTAATGATTCTTTATGTCTTGTTTTCTCACTATTTGGATCTAGCTCCTCTTTCATTCAGGTATATTGGTCTCCCTAAGCCTTTCTGGGCCACAGCTGGAGAAAGTGATGATTGACAGGACCCTGGTGGGGAAGCTCATCTCCGACACCATCAGCGATGGTAATTACACCCACGTGCAAATCAATTGCCTACATTAACAATGGAGTAGAGAAACAGTATGTCAACAGGTAGACTAATTATTGCCACTGGGGACTTGCAAACACAACAAGTAATTGCATGTAATGCCATAGTTACAACCCTCAGGACTAAGAACACTTTAAGAATAATAGTTAACATCAAAGTTTTCAGGCTTGTCAAATACTGAATGGGTTTCTAAAATTACACATTTTAATAGCTATAAACATGCCATTTGAACTTCTGTTTATTTCATAAGTGGGAAAATGGAACAGAAAGAAACAGTACCCTACTGATTAATTACATGGAATAGTTGTTATTAAAATATTTTATTAGAAAATATAATGGATAATGGATAACATTAGTTAGGTGGAGGTGCTCTGGTTTAGTCTATAGATTTCCAGCATCTCACCATCATGATTAACTAATGACTAATTACAAAGGTTTTGTTTAGTGCAAAGGGAGAAAAAGGTACCCGTTTTTAAGAGCTTATTAATACAAGTATAGCTTTTTTAGTGTCCCTACTTAGCTTCACTGACAACCAGAAGTCAGTATCTTGGCATCTACGTGATCGAGAATAGGGAATTTCACAGTATCTTCCAAATTCTTAAAAAGTAGGTCCGAATTACATCCTTTTAATATCAATATATGCTAGATTTAGCTTTGACTTTTAATGATTTCTTTTCAACCACACTCAGGCATCTATTGTCTATTGACCCGGCTATTTAAGAAAGCCACAATGTCACTCTCATCTTCTCCTTCATTATAAGTATAGTCCTGAAAAATATCATTAATATAACTATGTTAGTTGAATCTTTAGGATCCAATAAAAATTAACCCTAACTTCACTTATTGCATGAAGCTGTAGAATACACTTAGCATCATCTCTTTTTTTTCCCACTCTTCCCCTAGTTAGCAGACTACTCAATAGTCTGATCTTTTTCCCTGTTGTTTCTAGAGGGAGGACTTCATATTGAAAGATGACAAAAAGTAGGAAAGCGTCAAAGCTTTCAGTGATACCCACATTGAAATTGTTTGTAGAATTTATGTAGAATTTACCCTCTCTCCTAAATTTTTTCATAAATAGTAAATAGTTATCTGTACACTGCATTACATTGCCTTAGAGTGTTATATAAATATAATTTTAAAAAAACCTTACTACTTAGAAAATTTAAACCTACCACAATAATAAAGCAACAAATACATTTTTCTGCAGTTATATACTCAACCTGCTCTAAATAAGGTTATGTAATAGTTTATCCTTTTATTCACTGACTCAAGTGTTTATTAATGTCCACATCTGAAGGTGAAACAGGGCTGCTTCTGTTCAGTAAAAGAAAACCCTCCAAATACCTTTCATTGTAATATCTATTTTTTAATGAACAATAAAAGTAGATACTTTTTTACCTACACAAATAGTGTTCAAAATACAATTTTTTACATTGAACTCACCTCACTGCGAGCCAAGACATAATGTTGTCCTAGGATAAATTAACTTCAATCCAGCATCATTTCCTGTCTTTCCAAATCTGGATTGGAATCAGATTTGTTCAAAAGCAATTTGATTTTTAATACAAGAAATGTGTTTGAAAATAGTGTGTGTGTGTACATATATATATATTTACATGAATATGTTGAAATGGATAAGGTTTAAAATCTACCACCTTGACATTGTAGTGTCTCAGAGTAGCATGCCCTCTTAATATGTAGAATAATAGAAGTCAGATTGTGCATGAAGATGCATGAAGTACAGAATTAAGATTGCATTTATCATCCTCATGCCTCCACTAAAGTGCTCTTAAAGTTTACGTTTATATAGGTAAAATAATAATCTTTTTAAGAAGTTAATTAGAAATTATTAAAAAGTTGCCTTCCTGAAAGACAGCAGTATTTGTCACTTTGTTTTCTAGCACTGAGGCCTTGAGGCAGGAGCATGTAGGATATTGTCTGCACTGCCCATCTCTGTAGGGTAATCAGACCCAGCAGCTTAATATAGGTCGTCTTGAGGGCACCTCTCTGAATAATGGCATGACTCTGCCCACAGTTGCATTCACATAGATCTAATTGGCATCAGAATTTCTAAGCTTGCTTTTCAGATGGGGAAAAAAATATCGACAGAACCTTCCAGTATTTATGCCACGAATCACATATACATTTATTGTTATTAAAGCAATAACAGATGTGCATCACCCCTCTGTAGCTTCTTATCTTTCACCTCATGTATCTTATCTGTGTGTAGTCTTCTGCCCCGAGCCTGTGCCGTCCTCCAGCAGAGCCTTTCTGGCTGCACAGCCAGGTGGTCTGAACATGGCCAAGCACTGCATTCCTGCTCCTTCCATTCCTGCTCCTTCCACTCCTGCCCCGCAGCCGCGGTTGCTGTAAATCACAGCGCTGCTCGTCTCATCCACACCTACCCAGGGATCTTCAAACCCCGCTTTCTTTTCTTCAATCAGAACAAATTATGGAAGCACTGGATGTGTGCTGTAGATCATCTTTAACGTACGCTGTGTCTGTGAGCATATAAAAGTATTTTAATTGGGTACATATTGCAGCTACGCACGCAGTGACTTTGAATTTTCACGTGTATTTAGGAGCTCACTTAAAGCTTCTAACTCCCAACATCAGATACTTGATCACTTTTTTTCCCCCCAAAACGTAGTGTTAATGTAAAATTTCAAAAGCAATTTTTTGACTTCAAATTTACCCCTTGGCATTTGCATACCAGATAGTTCAGAGCTGTGCCAGTACATGGCGATTGGAAAATGCAACTGGTTGTAAAACAGGCCAATTCGAAGCAAAGCTGAATAGTCAGTATTCACTGCTTACCTTTAAGACTCAGCTGCTGACGGAAACTACTTAAGGATATTAAAAATGCATTCAAAAACCTAGGATTTTTGTCACAAATGCATTTTTGTTGTTGGTTTTTTTTTTTTTCAGGGGCTGTTCTGCAGGATTTTGTTTTTAAACCCAGTTCCAATTTTCCTAGCGTTTTCTATTTAGCAGAGGTTTCTGAGTTTACTTTCTGAAAACAGCTTGCTAGCTTTACATTAATCCTGATTCTCATTAACAATTCTTCAGCAATCTGGTGCTAGTTACCCTGATGGCACATTTCATTCTCAGATATCTCTTTAAATGTAAGCAGCGTTTCAATAACTGGATAACACTTGGGAAAAAATCCTAGATAGCACTGTCTAATTAATTTTCATTGTCAAATTAGTTAATCAGTTTTATATTGAACTATTTTGGTCTGTTAATCAGTTTTACATTGAACCATTCCACTGCACTTTTCCAGACTTCAAGGGAATCCATTCCATCTTGGTTTTCTGTATTGCTCAGGTACCCACAGGTTAAGGTTTCAACAAGTACATAACCCCTCTGAAGCATAATTCTGTACGTAACAGCCAGAGACTTACAATGTCAAAACACCAGGTACACCTCAAGTGCTAATTTGCCTTTATCATGCTCAAAGCCAGCAGTGCTGCATTACGTGCACTTCCAGAACACTGGTGGATGTTACTATAGAAAAAAATGGAAGGGTGAACCGTGATGAAAATGAATGTGGAAGGGCATAAAACATATATCTGAATGTCGTGGTAGCTTGATGTGAGATAATTTATTCAGGTTTATGTAATCTGACTACTCTCTAAGCTTTATTTCTCATTTCCAAGAAGGTCCTGGCAGGATGACACATGGATGTCTTTTAGGAGATTACAGAGGCTTCCGTGTAATATTTAAGACAGTGTCTTGAAAAAATTGCTTTTTGCAGTGTCTCAGTGGAGGTTTCAGTAATTTCTTTTGTTCCTAGAAATAGTGGTGGCATTATTTTTTTATTCCAGGTATTCTTTCGGACAATTTCATCATCTTGTCATTTGAGGACTATAACCAACTCTGCTTCATTCACTTTACAAAGAAGATGGATTCTCCCAGTGTAAACAGAAGACATGAGAAACTCTCTTGTTTGGATTTTAAGGTATTGCTGTCAATAGTAACTGTCTATATTACAGTAATTTTACATAATGAATCACTGGCACTCACTGAACTTTTATATAACTGATCAGAACAACTCAAATCCTAAAACTGACAGTTATTGGAAAGTAAAAAAAAAATAAAATATATGGCATTCTGAGTTAAATGAATTAAAACTCTACCAAGAAGGATCCAGTTTTCTACTCGGTTCCACGTACGTTAAGGCCTCAGAGGCACAGTTGAGTTACCCCCGCTTAACAGATTACCTCATGTCAGCTGAGCAGCAGTAACTGACCCTTTGCACATTCTCAGCATCTAACAAGCATGAAGTAAAACCTGTAATGGTAAAGCTCAGTGTAAAAGATTTAAGCTAATGTGTTTTGCCTGTTGTTTGCTGTGGGCTAAAAATGCACGCATGGTCAATTACTACGGCTCAGCTGATATACACAAACTCGCAAAGCTGTGTTTATTCAGTCATCTGTCTGGGGCTGTTATAACTGCAGAAGTCTTAATTTCTAGTTACAGTAATCATATTGTTAGGAGAGTTGGTTTTGCAACTAAGCTGCTGAGCTAGAACTCGAAATACAGAAGCTGAGTTTCTCACCACTGACAAATTACATATATACAACGTTAAGCAAGTGACTTTGTGTCTCTGTATCTCAATTCCCTATTTATGTAGTGTAGATTGAAATGCCCCCTGTTCCAGCCTTTTATGTATGAGTGTGTCTATACCACACAGTCAGAGCAGAAGCAGAAAGGCAGTCACATTTAAACTGACTGGTTTGGCTGTCGGTAGAAACCCATTCATCTCAAGCAAATTTATGCTGCTTCTTGGGTGGGTTGGGTTACGTAGGCATAACCCATTTCCACCGAAGCTCTTTGGCTTCAGGACAGCGTAACTCTGACCTTAGGTGGAAGTGCTCGGTACTACAGCAGTATAACAAAATAATCAGCTAAAGGCAATACGTTTTGAACAGGCAAAGTAAGAAAAAGGCTGAGTCCAGTTCACTGCAAGCAAAATGAAGTGGCAAGCCTTTGCTCAAAAAGAGTAGAAAGATGTAGTGAGCAAAAGAGTGATTTTGTATTTATTTAAAACTGAATAAATACTAAAGACATCTTGTGCTAGCAAACATTTTCCCTTTGGCACCCCCTCAGTAGTTTGGTTCCTCACATAGAGAATTTGCATCTTCAAGGCAAGATTTTTAAGGATATGTTTAAGTTTTGCCATGTTTTAACTTGCTTGGTAGGAATATTTTCTGCTAGGATGAATATCTAAAACATTTTCCAGGCTGCTTCAGTTCAAGGCCTCTTTTCAGCAATGATTTGTGTTTGCGAGATTGATCCTACCTCTATAACGTGGATTTGAGACAGTTCACTGTTCACCAGGAACTGAGCTGATACGTAGTTTACTTTAAAATGATGTGCACTTGTGCCTGGCCTACAGTGTTTGTTATGGCTGTGCTTAGAAGCAAGGTTGGCAGGTGGTTGTGGTTATTTTTTTAATAACTGTAAGCTCTAAGTAAGAGACTGGTAAGCTGAAGATCACCTTCATTTAATTGTAAAGGCTGTAGCTCCTTACTGTAGTTACATTTAGAAAATATATTTTCATTCTAGGTATTGCTGTGTCCATTTTGGATCTAATGGTTATGCCATTTTTTCCTTGGGAAAGAAGGAAAACCTAATCCATAGAAAAGTGTCTCTGCCCTAGGAAACCAGAAATATCTACTGGCTTCCTTAATAGGATTGTTATGTTCAGTTATTTGCTCACACAGCTGAGCTTCTAGAAACACCTCTGTGTTCAACGGTAACCTTGCATTCTCTTGAAATCAGTGAGAATCACTATGGATTATTTCTTTGCCAGCCAAAAAAAAGGCATTTGCATTTTTTAATTGAATATTCCTTTATGTGAAGCTTTCTAGTTAGGCAGCTAAATATAATTTTTATTATCTTCAAAACTGCACTAGTGTGAGCCAGCAGAAACTATTATTCACTATTGCAATAATATTATGTTAGCTCTCTGCATTTGAATTAGAGTTCTTCATGGCTGCTTCTGGTCAAACTTACAAAAACTAATAACAAAAGAAACAATAATAAAAAAAGAAACAAAAGATCTTCCTCAATTGCAAATGTGCAAACAATACACACTTTAAAAAACTCCAGTTCCTTAGTCTTGATATTATTTTCAAGAGCAATCAAATTAAAAGGTAACTCGCACTGGTATAGAACTACCATAGGATTAAAATGTAGAACAAAGATTCAGGAAATTTGAGTATAGCTTTCATCTTTGCCTCTCACTTTCAATGCAGCCTTGAAAAAGGTACGTGGTATTTGCGTTTCAGTTTCTGTTTTTAAAATGAGGAAAATGCTTGCTTGCAGTAATATGTTTCAATATAATTAAATGTCTGTCATATGTAGATTTTAATTTATTTAGAACATGGACAGATGCAAGTTCACATTGATCGGTGTCCAGCCTAATGTGGGCAAAATTGACAGGGAACTTTAGGCAGTGCTAGACTGCCAGAGTGCTATTAATAGTGAGAAAAACTCAACCATGCTTTCCTTCTATTTTAATGTCTATCCAAAAGTTTATTTTTTCACAGTGCATACCAAAACGGAAGAATTGCTTCCTCCAGCCTCACCTTTCTAAATTACAACACCTTGGATTATATGTACACTTTGAAAAAAGGAGGATTTATTATGAGAATCAGTATAGTCTTAGAGTACAGGGAAATACAGAAACAACTATGGCCATTTGCCTTTACTCATTGGCAGTAGTCCATGTTTGAGATCGCAATGTCTATTGCAAAATGTAAAGACAGGTAAACAAAAGATTCTCAGCAGCTATTAAATGTGAAATTGTTATGATCAGTACACACTGCAGCACAGCTCTAATTAATATCTGTGTAAGTATTGTGTTTTTCCATCCCCAGATAAGGTATTGTCACCAAATTCACTGTTTGTACACAGTTTGAATTCAAATAGCAGTTATCTGTTCCCTTTTCAGTGTGCGTTATGTTTATTCTTTTAAATAGAATTTTGACAGGTAAAAGTATATATATTCTAAAAATACTGACCTCTTGTAAGTTTTTCCCACCTATGTATTTTTAATCCATTTCAATTAACTGAAGAAGGAGACAGTACAAGTAGTTAAATGTTTACCGTGAGAGAACAACATTGGTAATTACTTTGATTTCAGTTCCTTTTGATGTGCATTCAGGGGATGAAGAGGTCAATAATATTATGACCATGCAAATAGAAAAGGGTTCTTTTTGACCATATAAAAAACAGCAAAGGATTATTAAAGCATTAACCTTGATTTTAATGGCCTTGGTTGAGTGGTGAGATCACAATTTGGATGAGCCTGATTATTTACTAAATACAATACATAAATGCAACGGGTTCTTAACACCCATTGCACTCTGGCATTATCGCATTACTGCCATCCTTTGTTGCCTTGCAGACAGGAATATGAAAGCAATCTGTCATGTAGTGAGACTGGCTCCAGAAGCATTTCTCTGATAAGAAGACCCCCTGCCCTTTGCTAGTGTCTGGTCCAGTAGGCTTAGCCATGCGCTTAATCCCCAGAAAGTGGTTCGATTATTGCTGACCAGCAATGGCAAGATAGTTTTTTTTCTCCCCTAGCTATCAACCTTCCATTAATTCCTTAAGCAGAAATGCGGTGCAATCTATATTTCCTTGGCATGTGTCACCCAGATGGTGCACTGCTCATGTTTTCAAATAACCATGCTCCAAAATAACAGAGTTTGAATAATAAATTCCACAAATCCTTCCTGAGAAAGAGGCACAATTCTCCAGAGCTGCATAAACTTTACGCATGATGCTGTAGCTCATCCACATTATGCAGAAAAGTATATATTCTCTCACAAAGCGAATATTTGTCTGTGTTCCTTAATTTAGGGAAGAGAAAGAAAGATGCACATTTGCTCAAACAGCATAGAATATATTTAATATTTGATTATGTCTTAAACACTAACCTTAGCTCTCTGGTCAGCTTCGCAGAACTTGTCATTTAATATGGCTAAGCTTAAATCCTGTGTGTAGGTCGATGTTGTCAAGCAACCATGACTGTACATTTTGGTATTGATTGGAGTCATTGCAGTAAATTCCTTCTTAACTCACATTCCTTTCCTTCCCAATCCCCTCCCCGCAGATAAAAGTGTGAGCATGTCTCATTCTGTCTGAGGAGATATTTTTCACATTTACAGACAGCCTATATGGAGATATATGTACACAGTCCTCTGTGTATGTATGGATTCTCTTTCACAAACGCAAAGTAAATGCTCCCAATTGCTCCCACTGTGCTATCTTATTGCCTTAAATATTTTCTGCATTTTTTCTTCCATCAGATTTCTTACATTGATATACCTGGACTAGAAGGTAGGAGGATGAAACGTCACCTGGCAATAAACTGTATGCAAGATATGGCCATTTGCTGGTGGTCAGCAGCTAGTGAAGGAGCATGGCCTTGGTCTCCTATTTCCTGTGAAAGGGACAGAGCCAACCTATTGCTGTTAGGCTGTGCACATGGCAAACTGGAGGTAAAGTTCTGAACTCTCTTGTTACATGATTTTTAGACTTGCTAAAGAAATAACTATTCAAATTAAATGCGTTTTCAGGTAGATGAAAAGAAACAGATATGTTTAAAATGTAAGGGAGAAAAATGACCCATCCTCATCTTAAAAACAAGTATTAATTATTTAGTGAGAAAAAACCACATTATTTAGTATGTTTAGTATTTTTGCATTAAAACTGATAATCTAAGAAATGTAACAATTAAATGAGGTCTTTAAAATGGAAGAGCTTTGAGGCTGTCACCACTAAAACTTCTTTAACCTGTTTAGGAAACTGTAGCTGTTGCATGCTTCTCCAATGCAATTATTTTACTTTGTCTGCAGTGTTAACAAATAGGCATTTCTTAATCTACTTTAAGCATTTCATTGTAAGCTTTTAACTAAAAGCAGATGCTGCTTAAACTGTTGTGATGACTACTGATCAAACTGGGGACTATTTTCTCAAAGAAAAAATCAAAATTCCCTATCTACAGGTACAATTATAAGCTACAAGTTAGAATAGGTTTACAGTCTGACTCTCCACTTGACACTTGTTTATCTTACATTCTAAGGCATTTCATCTATTTCGTTTTTATTTCATGTATTTTAGAATATTTGAATCCAGTTTTTTTATGTTTGATCAATACTTTTAAATGAAGCTATCTGAGCATATTTTGAAAAGAGCTATAGTTAGAATTTAAAATAGATGAACGTCTTATATAGATGTTATAGACCGTTTTATTTTCAGTTTAGTTTAAGCCACTTCTGTTGTGGGCTAAAAAGGCACTGACTGTGGGAGAAGAGCACAAACTTCAGGGCCAGCTGTGGGATAGCTGTTCTGTGGTAGCTATTACAGGCTGTTTCCCTGTAGGGAAAAACCAAAAATAACACTTCAAATAAGCTGCTCCTGTAAACAACGTTCAGTTCTCTTTAATTTGCGAAGATGTACATGTTAACACATCTTAGAATCATTTAATTGGTAAATAATATTAATTTCAGTGAGTTTTTTCCCTTGGGATTTTCTATATATTGAAAGCAAAAGAGAAAATGTAGTTGAGACAGTTTTTCTTTCTTATCTCTGTCATTAATCACTGCAGAATTTAAGTTTAAATTACCTCCAGTTCCATCTTCTATTCTTCTTTTCAATTGGCCTCTCCCCACTAGTGGTCATCTTTGACTCATCTCTCTCCTCCTCCAGACACACACCTGCAGTTCTCAGTTTCCACTGCTGCTATGACCAATCACACGCGAAAAAGATTCTGGTACTTAAAAGTGACATCTGTTCACTTAAGTTTTTGCAGCATGCTCTCCTGTGCGAGTTTCATGTTATGAAACGTCATCCTGCTCACAGCTCACATCTAATTTCTTACCATAACATCTGTAAGTCCTGGTTCTGACCATAACATTCCCATGCCATTCATTTCCTTTCCACGTCTCTGCATGTTCTTCCAGGACGCTCCCTAATGTCAGTTTGCCGTCTCTATTTTCTGAGATGTTTTTTAGGAACTCATTTCTTCTGTGAAATTCACAGAAGGTACCCCTTTATTTAAAAGCTTTCTCCTTTTTGTTGTATATGTTACAGGGAAATTTCCAAATTACAGCGTTGCTCTGCATCTTTCGGCGCACCTTGTTTTATCCTTTTTTGGTTTAGACTTTAAATCGCTCGGGGCTGAGGCTGTCTAGTATAGTCCCAAGCACATCACTGGTGCTTAACACAATACTGATAATAAGCATTCACTGAGCCTTTAGGCCTAAACTTATAATCCTTTTAATTTAGCCTATATTGTAATATAAATATACGGAAATTATTTTAAAAAGCAGAACTACCAAATTTAACTATTCAGTCTCTTTTCATCCTTTGCCTACACTTGCCTGTTTTAATTCTGAGCTCCTCACCTGACATTTCTTTTTCTTTATTTGTCACTAAAATACTGAGCACTGTGCCACCGTTTTGGAAAATGTGTAGATATATAACTATATAGATAATTATTATTTTTGCTGGTTGCAGTCTATTCCATGTATTTATCTCCGGGGTGCTTTTCCTGTGTATCTGTGATGTGTAGCCTATAGAACTGTTTGTGTTTTTCTTCCTTATTTCTCTAGTAATTCTTACAGCTGGTAGTTAAATTTCCCTTCCCAGACAGGGGATGTCATAGCCCAGCAGCTCTACAACTAACATCAATTCCCAATCTGCAATTAACTTAAGTACGTGTTTCTCCCCCAGAGTATTGGAGGGCCACTTTAACTTAACACTTGCAGCTTTTGAGGATCATGGGATAGCTTAAACTGAGTACAAACATAGTTAACATTTTTAGGCAGCTTCTAAACAGTTGGTGGCACAGTGTTTCTGTAAACCTGCCTATCTTTGCTCCTACCACTTTATCATTTGTGGTATTCTTCAGGTATAGTCCCGGAAGAAAAATGTGACATGACATTGTTATATATAAAAGTAAATCCATATTTATCATATTTTGACCAATACCATGATTTTTTCTAACGAGTGAATGATTACTGTCAACATAAGAATAGTAAGAAGAGTGAACTTAGACAGTTTGGAGAATTATCAAAAAGGAATATGTTAAATTAACACCACTAACATTTTATGTGAAAATAACGGTATCACTTTGGTAAGACATCATTATCATCTAGAGTTAAGAAAAAAGCAGGATATCTGGCCTACAAATGATTAGCTCTTTGGCATATTGAGTTTATCAAAAAATAAACGGAGCCTGAGAAAATGCCTGAGCGCTGCCCACAGCCTTTCTGCAGCATGTTTGTGTTGACCTACAAAAAACACAAACAGATCTGTCAGGTACTGGCACTTACTGTTGTTGCAGAGCAAATCCAAATGATACTGCTTCCTCCCTGGAAAAATGTTCTGAGTGGTATTTGCTGCCCACCAGAAGACTACTTATTAGGATGAGGACAGGAATAGCCCTGGGACAAGGCAGCCCTATCCCTTGTCATGTTAATATCCTCTAACTACACATTAGGCACCGAGGTGACTCATGTTCACATACAGCGTTTGGGCTATTGTGTACCTCAGCAACACTTCAACTTAAAGAAGAAAATCCATTTCACATTTCAAATACACTGTATATGTGACTGGAATTGTGCTATATGGCCTTATGCCTTAACATTTGCTGCTATTAGTTCTGAAGGTAGATGTTATCCTTTTAAAAATGGGGACAACTTTTTCCTTGCAAATCTTGATTTCTCTGACTTTCTTCGATGGGTTTTTTTGTCTTTTTTTCTTTTTTTTTCTGAAATCAGCAGTTGCTGTGTTGCATGCAGTAGGATTCAGTTAGTAATCCTCCCCTGAAGAAATAAAAGTGCTTTTCTGTTTAATGTATGACAGCCCTGGCATATGATGTATGTTGATGTGCATGCACTTATACTGCTGCAGCAGTGTCTGTTGAACTTTTGTCTGCTTTTGTGTGTGTCTTGGTTTCCTATGGTAAACCCATCTGTTCCCAATTTATGTATTTAATTGATGGCTTGTTTCTTTTTTGTTAAAGTACCAGTGATCAAGGATGCTATTTAAGTTGTCTGACTGTGTAGATAATGCAAGAAATTTTTGAAAGCAGAATTCAATTTACTTTGAATAAATAGGATCATATCTGAAATCATCCTTGGATTAAATACTTTGACAGACAGTCATGTTAAAATCAACTTGAATAGCGAACATTAACAAAAATAGCAAAAATTAATAGGTGATGATGCCGAGGCTTGGTTACTGTAGTACTTTGCATTTGTCTTTACTATGTTTATTTTCACTCCTTTTACTGCTAATACAAATGGCTGAAATTATACTTCAGTCTTGTGGAAACAGTGATTTTCCTGAGAGCGAACATTATCTTTTCACCCAAGACACAACATTTAATTAGTTATTTCTTTTACATGGTGCAACAAACTTGTAAAATAAACACATCAGACCTTACATGAGTGAGCTGTACTGTAGCAATCAGAAAAGCATCTGCGTTGTGTGACTGAATAGTGAAATACCTCTCACACACATGGAACAAGGATTGTAAAATCCTTGCTTAAAAGTTTGATGAATAATGCAGGATAAATGTTATGATGATAAGTTTTGAAAGAAAATAAGAATAAAATGTTGGCTGAAGATCTAAATAGTAAAATTACACTTGGGACTGGAAATCCATTGCAGCCAAATAAATAAGCTGGATAGGAGCCTTGTATTTTTATTGTAGAAGAGTTTAAATATAAGGTGTTTGGTTGTTTGTTTTTTTTTCTTCTTTCACAGTGCTGTATTTAAAGCTATTTTATTCCAGTGTGCACTACACTTCTCACTTTACATTTCTAATTAAAGCGTTTGTTGTTATTTGGAGCTTCACTGTGTGAAATTTAGCAAGCATTTCTTTAACATCCATAAAATATATGAAATATTTGTCTCATCCAACAGGCGCACAGTCCAGTCACAGCAAGCTTATTTCTGTTTCTTTTGTTTTCTTTTTTTTTTTAATCTGCTTGGTAAGCCAATTTTCTGCTTAAGTAATACTGTTTGAAACTTGTATTTGTTTTGGTATGTGGGCTTTATCCTTTCCCAGTATTCTATGCAGAATGCTTCAATTTTAAGCGTTCGAAGATTTGTACTGAAGAGAGTGATACCACTTATATAAGCTAGTGCTATTATTTCTTTCAAACATTAAAAGGAAGAAGGTATGTTAGCTAGCACGATTCAGATCCCATAGTTATCAAGACTGTCAGATTCCTTTACTTGGATTGATATGATTTCTGAGTTAGGATTTGAGAAGCTGGCATGCATAGTATCTCTCTTACTGCTATCAGCTGATGCAGGGCACAGGCCAGTACTGCAGGAACTAAATTGTACAAATGTGTAATAGAGGTACTTGACTATTGCATTGATAAGGGAAATGTACATAAATTATGTGTATACTTTTAAAATACATTTGCTAGGCTTCTGTAATGTACATGTCACTAAACTGTAAAGGATTTTTAAAAAAACAACATTTTATTTATTTTACAGAAAGTAATGCAAAATTTCTGTCCCAGAAAGCTTCTTTTGAAGTCTAAGGTTGAGTGATTGGTCCAAGACTTTGGACTAAATAGCAGTGTGATAGTATGTCTTTATCTTTTTAGATCCACCAGACTGCCCTTCTTCCACAGTTCTGACAGTTGTCCTATGCACTGTTGAGGAAACTCCTACAGCTTTAGCCTTCACCTTCCCCATGAAAATTTTGGTTTTGTTTACAACTGAAAGATATACTGCTTTGGTGATGTTCCCCTTCAGGGTTACAGGGAATTTAGAACTACTGCTTGTCAGGAATTCCATTGGATTCCTTCAAGTGAACTGCTAGAGCACTACGTTCACTACATTTACCAGCACATCACTACTTTACCATGTAGGTAAACAACTGGTGGGTAATGGAGTACCATCTCCTTGGAAAAAAATATGCTTTGATTGCTAGTCTTTGTACTGCTTGGATTCATAGAATTGTAGGATGCTTTGGGTTGGAAGGGACCTTAAAGACCATCAAGTTCAAAGCCTGTGCCGTGGGCAGGGCTGCCCCCCACCAGCTCAGGCTGCCCATGGCCTCATCCAACCTGGCTTTGAATGCCTCTGGGGATGGGGCACCCACAGCTCTCAGGGCAGCAGCGCCAGGGCCTCACCACCCTCTAAGTAAAGAATTTCTTCCTTATATCTAATCTAAATTTAACCTCTTTTAGTTTAAATCCATTATCCGTTGTCCCATCGCTACACACCCTGATAAAGAGTCCCTTCCCATCTTTCCTGCAGGCCCCCCTTAGGTACTGGAAGGCCTGGAAGGAATGCTTTTTTTCAAGTGTTATCTTAGCCTCATTAACATGGTTTTGTAGTTGCATGTCTCTGCTTTAGTTCTTCAGTTAGTGACATGAGCAATTATTAATAAAAGTAAAATTTCTGACTCAAATCTTCCCTCTCAGATGAAAGAGAATATCCTTTTTCCCCCCTCAGAGTGCCAAATACCAGTTATGTTCAGCAGAATTGGAAACCAGTACAAAGAGGTCTCTTAGGTTTGCTGCTCTTCCTTCAAGAGGCAAATGAGGCCACTGATGTGTGAGAAGGTTTATCGGTTAAAATCTTAAGAGAGATGTTTCTCTTGTTTTCAGCCAGTAGTCTCTAGAAAGTTTCCTTTAAGCCTAGTTTGTTTAAACATTAGGTCAAAACGTACGTTTTGTAAAGTAGCAAATAGTCTTCTCTTAGGAAAATTTCCCTAGCATATAATTTTTTAATGTACAGCAACCAACTGAACCCTAAACTTCATTTCAGAGATCTGCTTTCAAAATTATGAGCAGGTAGGAAACTTCTCGTCTCAAGGCTAATTAAATTAGACCTTCCAAGATATAAAATTCTACTTTCTTTTAAATTCAAATTACCAAGCAGCATTTTGTCCCTCCTTTGCACTAACATGACAGAACAAAGTTATTAGACTTGGTTTAGTTACTGACTTTCAAATGATCAGATTTATTTTTTTCTGTTGCTGTTTTCCAGCAGTAACTTGTATTGCATTGAAAAATCACGATTCCTGTGTTTTCTTCTCTGTTGTCTTAATTTTCAAGTCCAGTCTCTATTCAGAGTTTAATGTTGCTCTCAGTCTTTCATTTCTCACATGCTCAATTATTGTGTTGATCTTTATGACTTTCTTGTAGCTGGTGAGATGTCCTAAGAGGAACACTGGTTTGGAATCAAAATATGTAGGTAAATAAAGCGGTGCATTGAAATTGGAAGACGGAATTGAGAGTCCCAGGGGGCCTCAAGGCTCACTTCACTTAAGTTTTGAAGCTTTGAAGACTTGCTTGGGCAAGATTTCTATTTCACATATTTGAAAGGCAGCTATCTTGGTCTCTGTGCGTAGTCAGAGCAAATGACAATTCACCTTGTCTTTATTTGGGGTTACAGAGCTCTGTGGTCACAGTAATCCTTTGTACACATAACCCCTTTACAGGTTGCCTTGCTATGCAATTTAACATACTAATAAGCTACATATTTCAAGCAGTTCTAAAACCAAACATCTGAACAGTAGCCACTACACATTTTGTGGACTTAAATTACTAGCTTCAGAGGCTAAGTCATTGGTTAAGCAAATGGAGCAGGTGAGAAATGGGTTTTCAAGCTGTATAGCTTATTTAACCTCTTATTTCTGCTTTGGTGTGTATTTTCTTTGATCACTGCTCTTCATTGAAATCAGATTATCTGCTTTTGGTTGGTTGCGCTGGCTTCTCTTTTAGATGCTTTCACATCTGATGTTCTCTTTCTTGCCTATTAAGTAGTTCTTAGTATGTCCCTAACCTCATTTTACACTAGCTAGGACTTCTGTATTAACAGGCAGCTGGTTTACAGCCACAGAATTACAACAGTGATTTTTCTTGCTTTTAAATGAGAAGCCCTTTTGCTCACAAAATAAGTAAACATCCTAATCAGTCTGATCAGCATCCCAAATTCATTTCTGAAGTAATGGGTGGTATGTCAAAGAAAAACTTTCTTTGTCTCTAACTTTACAAGTTGAAAGGCTAAATTCAGTTAGTTCAGTTAGTCTGGTGGTCTATGGAAATCAGCTTCAAACTGTTTAAGTATATTGTGCATGTTTCTGTTCTCACTCTGAAGTTTCCAAGTTTTCTCCCTCTCTTTTTGCTATCCCTTTTCATAAGTGGCACTTGCATATCACCTAGACTCAAAAGAAGCAGTTTTAGTGTCAAGTCAGCAACTTCATCTTGTGAATAACACCATGGGTATGGTTTGGCTCTGTTTAACAATTTCTATTTCTAGCACAGTCTATTTCCTATCCCTTTCAGACAAATAACTTTTTATAAACCGTGTGTAACTTAACTACAACTAGTACTTCTCCCACAGTTTCCCTGCCACAGTCATCTACAATACCTTTCTCTCGGATACATAATGAATCTGCACTGGACTCCACTGTTGCCTCCATCATTTCATAGTATTTCTCATGTTTTTACACTAGAAATTCTTACTCTTTGCCAGCTATCTTTGGATCATACTCTGCCTTTGTGTTCTTCTACTTTATTTGACCTGCTTGTACCTCTAAAGAGTACTACTTCTCTTCTATAACTATATGTCACTAAAAAGCATCTACCACCTACTTGTTTGGCACTGTGTAGTGTACGTTGTTTAAACTTGCCATTGTTTCCACCCTCTACAGTATAATATTTTCTATTACCATGGCCAAGAGCAAATGATCAAAAACGCTCCATCTGAGATGCTTAGAGTAGTCTACTATAAATTTTTCAAGATATTTTGGGATTTTTCCCTCCACTTTTTCGGAATAATCAGCCTTTCTTTGATATGTCAGCAGCTCATCTCTCTTCTGGTAGGACTGTTAGGACGATCCCCTCTTTTATCTTTACTGCTGCTAACCTATTGTACCTTCTGAGTAAAAGAAATGGCTCAGACTCTATAGCAATAAATTGACCTTTTAAAAGCCTGAACAATAGATTTAATAACTTGTTTCAGCTTACTGAGTCATGAAAAAAATGTATTTTCAGCTGTCTAATTTTAAATTGTCAAATATAAGAATATTTTTTTACAAATAACTACCAAAGCATTTTGGCTTTTTTACAGGTTCTGAGTTATGTTCGTACAGAATGGGATCCACTTGATGCTAGCTTTAGCTCTAAGGAGCCTTACCAGGTTCACACAGTTGAGCACTCCATCTCTGCAGATAAAGAGCCCATGGCTGACAGCTGCATCTACAACTGTGTTAGAAACAAAATTCGGTGTGCAGCAGTCACCAGAATACCACTACAATCAAGGGCAATCAGCTGTTGCAGAAATATTACAGAAGACAAACTAGTCCTGGGCTGCGAAGATTCGTCAATAATTCTGTATGATGCCTACAACCAAGTGACTCTGTTAGCCCAAGCAAAACTATTGCCTGCATTAATAACCTACCACCCTTCCGGGGCCATATTCCTGGTTGGCAGTTCTCAAGGGGAGCTGCAGATTTTTGACACGGCTCTATCCCCAGTTAAAATTCAGCTCTTAGCAGACGACTATTCACCTGAGGCAACTTTGCAATTCGGCAAACACTTTGACGTCTCTAGCAGCCTCATCCAGATTCAGTGGGCTGCTGCTCAAGCTGCATCTCCCAGCACTGATGGCATAGATGTTCATGATCTTTTGTTTGTTAGGTTTGACAAAGGACCCTTAGGAGTACTTCGCTTTAAACTTGGTAAGTTACTGAGTGCATCTATCGAGCCTTTAGGCTCTCAAGGAAACATCTGTACCTCATAAGTTTTATGTTGTTTGAAAACAGCATTTTAGATAAATGGGACCAAAACACACAATTCCAACGATCTCTAGAAGATGCAAATCAAGGAGTTTGTTATGTTTCACTATTATTTAATATCTTTTCTTGTGGTGTCTGATATGTGAGTCAGAATCCTATTATTTTCCCTGCCTAACAGTTTCTCATATCAAAAATTATTTTCCTCTGTAGAATACAATTGTAGGTATTGTATTCATTCTGTATAAATACCTGTAACATACCAAAATAATCTACATGTCATAATAGGATAGTAATAGCTATTCTCTTTCCTAAATAGATTAGTTTTGTGTATGATACAACTATCTTTTCCATTACAATGTATGTTTTTTTCAGTATTCTTTTTTTCTGGCCTTGGTACGTGAAGTCGCACCTTCTTCCCTTTAAAACTTCACACAAGAAGGAAGGTTTTCATAACCTTCAAAAAAGTTTAGCGTCTCAAATAATTTACCAGCAGTTGAGAATAAAAGAAAAAAGTAATAATAGTCAGTTTAGAATTTATTAGCACTTCTCATTTTTGGTGTAAATAGGCTTTAAGTGAGTAAAACTGTAACTAACTTCAATTTACAAACAGAATAACAAGAGTAAAGGAAAGCTGGAGGGCTTTTTAAGAGTTACATGAGGTGTCAGTGGCTGAACTAAGAATATAACCCCCGTTGTTCATCATCAGTGAGAACTGCATTCATCCCATTCAAGCCAATCAAGTTACAGTGGTGCAGACCCAGAGTGAGAGCTAAAAAAGCTGTTATGCTTAAATCTTCTGTCTACCAGTCCAGTGTTTCTCCATGGCAGACAGCCATTTCAAGTATATTTTATCCTGGAAAAATTCAGTACTTTGCCCGTTGTCTGTCCAAGGAATAAGAATTACCTTTGTCTATCTTTAAAAGGAGTTAGTTTGGGGTTTTTTTGTGGGGTTGGGTTTGGTTTGGTTAATATTTCATATAAATCTTTTGTGATTAGGAAGACACCTATTTTTAAGAAACTAGGTGACTGTGAAGTTTGAACCTCTTTTGAGATATGCGTGTGCTTTTGTGTGAGAAAAATCCTGTCTAAACATTAGAAAAATCTGTCTTTACCAAACCTTTACTACATACGCCACAACAAAAAGATAAATTAATGTCACCAAGAAAAACACTGGACTGATTTAGAGTTATATACCTTCAAAAGAGTTGATCCAGATTAATACTTTTATCCAAAATTGCTATTAAAAATGTTTACAAATTACCATTTATTTTGAGATAATTCAGCTGTATTGTGTTCAGTGACAGATTTAATGGTTGCAGAGCCCCTCAGAACACTAATTAAAACAGCTATTTGATGCTTTTGTACATGTTGGCCATTAAAAAAACATCCTCTAAATTACCTCTTACCTGTCAAGCAGAAGGCACTCTACCCACATCTACCTTGCTTTTCTATAGTCCTCCCTCGTGGGGTTTACTCACAACAGCTTTCCAGAAAGCTCAGCTTTCCCCTTGCTATCTTTAGCACATTTATGTTCTTACGGAGGCAGCAGGCTCTCAGTACAGGGATTTAGAGGCCTTTCCTGCTAATTGCCAGCTTGTAAACTTAATTGGACTGTCTCCCTGGGCACCGTTCCTAAATCAATTAGGCAGTGAGTTGGCCGTCACCTCTTTTTCCCAAGTAGGTTGCCCGGAAGCGCACCACCCAAGAGAAGTCAAGCATCCAAATAAATGGGAAGTTGTTGACCTCTACAGCTGAAAGTTATCACTTTTTAAAATTCATTCTTTATAATTATTGTAAAATCTCTCTCTCCGCCCCTCCCTACCTTCTCCGCTGCAGTCCACTGTGCAAAAACTTGCTGTTCTCTGTTGCATTCTGGTTTTCAGCTTTACTACTCAGTTTTCCACACCTAAGGTGGGATTGCCATACAAGAGTAGAATTGCTGTTGCTGGTTGTTTTTTGTTTTTAATATATTTGTGTTCATAGATTTTAAGGTTTTATTCTGTGGTAGTAGTAGTAATCCACTAATTTTTTAAGAATGAATGATTCTTACTGGCACTAGGAACACCTCTATTATTGCCAGTCCAAAAAAAAAAAAACAAAACAAAAAACCAACATTTTTGGACCTACAGCTATTGCATCATACATAGTATTTTTTAAATTTCTTCAAGCAAAGAAGGATCTCCCATAGAATACAGTTGGAAGTGAGCCATGTAATTGATTCTGGACTGCATAGTTTTACTGAATCAGCATGTAGTGTGGCACATTAGGTAATGTCTCTTCTCCTGAATATACTGAGTTCCACAGTCCTTTGGTATTAACATTTATAAATTATATTAACATTACTTGAATTGTTTCTCATAAAAGTCTGCTGGAAAATAGATTTTTTTAAGTTCCAGCTGCCACATTATGCTCTTGGACAAGAACTATGAATCCTGTGTTGTGATGTCTTGGTAGATTTATTTCAGGAAAGCGTTCATTTTAAATTTACCCTCAAACACTAATGTCAGATATTTTTGTTGTCTAATGCCAAATTCATTTTTAAAAACATTACAGCTTTTTGTCATTGATGTCAGCCCAGACAGTGGATGATGCCAAACCTGGTACCAGTGCCAGTGGTTCAGCACTGCTGGCCTAGGTGGATATTTAAAATATAATATCATATTTAATTAGCTAGCAAATCATTATTTTCATCTTCACTTAGTAATTTATGTGAAGATTTTCCAACTTGTATAATGCCTTAGAAATATTAAAGGAGAATAAATTCTACTGTAACGATTAGATATTATCAGAGATATGCACAGATTAAACACAGCTATTAAACAGTATAATGTCCGTAGTCTTTCATACATGCAAATATTTAGTGAAATACAATTGACAAACATATGTATGTATATATGTATAGAATTAAATTTATATATATTACAAATATATATATATATATGACCTAATACATAACATCAGGTCTGTATTTGCAAATTCTCAGCAGACTGTCTGACCTACAGTCAGATGGGTTTTTTCCCACATTTTACTCTCCACTTCTGTTTTCCATCATGAACAATTTTCACAACTACTTTTATGAAAATTTTTTTGAGATCTGTTTTCTGTATATCATGTCTACGTTTCTCTGTTACCAGACCTTTTTGCCCCAGCCATCAGACGGCTCTAAAATCCATATTGATATTCATTTTCTCATCAGAATTTTTTAAAAATTATTTTCCACAAACACCATCAGAATGTAGATTGATTTTTTTTTTTTTTTTTTTTTAATAAATGTGTGCTTTATTTAGAAAGAGGGAAACTGTACATTTATTCTGTGTTTTTTTTCCCCTGACGTCTGGAGCATTAGTGATAAAGAATACATTCCCACAGTGACCCAAAGGAAGGAAGAACTACTAAAATGCCTTGCAAGACCTACAGCCTGTGATCATCTAGTTAGTCAGAGACAATTAAGAACATGACTTTCTGCATCTTTCCAGTCACCTTCCCTCTTCAGGAGCTGAGACCTACATGTCAAAGTCTGAGAATCTGTTTTAATTCACACTGATCAGAGACTAAGTGTTGTAGTAAAATTATGCTCTTGTGGAGTGGGGAATGTGCCATTCATTTTCTTCTCTTATGGTGAGCAAATGCATGGCTTCGTTTGTGACAAAATGACAATCTGGGAATGAGCTTTCTCTAGCAAAGCTTCACTACATGATATTTTCACTGGTGGATATTGGCCACATTCTCTCTACTGTCTCTGTGTTAAGTCCCATGTCCAGAGCACCCTAAATCTAAATATGATAACATGGAGTTCTATCACATAGAAATTAAACGGTGAAACCCATTAACTTTTTATTTTAATCAACAGGAATTCTTTTTAACTGTGCTCGAAAATATTCTATTATACGTTCTCTTAATGCCATTTTCTGCTTTAATATTTCCTAAAAAAGGTGTGATAACAAGAGGACAGCTGGGCCTTGTGGAGATCATCCACCAATACATTCGTTATGATGAGATACATGAGGCAATTAACGTCCTGAACACCATGAACTGGAACACGATGGGCCATCAGTGTTACATCTGCTTGAGTGCCATTGTCAATCACCTACTTAAACAAAAGCTTACACCAGACAGAGAAGGTAAGGGACTGATTGCACTTCTAATGTGCTTTTCTGGGGTCTGTAGTTCTTATAAGGATTATGATGTTATATTTATTGACTGTATAAAAAAGACAATAGAGAGAATCCAGATAGTCAGCCGTTTGAACATAGTACTCCCTAATCAAATGTCGTATTTAGAAATAATTTTGAAAAATTATTTCAGTGAAGTCTGGATTAACGTGTTGATTGAATTTCAGTTAATGTTTCTACCAAGAATGATAATAAAATGCAGGTTATTTTAACGTATGTGTGGTATAGGCATGACTTAACATGTATAGCACTATCTCATATACGCTGTAACTTTATTGTGTTACACAAATTTAGCTTGTCACAGACCAGTGCTAGTTAACACAGGCTTCAAATGTTTGTTATGTACTCATACTGAGACAGCACTGACATAAGTAGGGAAGCTCTCCTTTAACAGGATTTGAGTGGGATTGTTAAGGTGCTTGTGAAGGGTCACTCTTTTGCTACAAGATGGAAGGATCTGAATACACTGTCCTCTGCTGCCTCCTTTAGGATTATAGCTTTTGTCCTCGCAGTAATCTCCTGCCCCCCTGCAGTACTAGGTGGGGTCTCTCACAAGAATTGATGAATTTTAGGCTCAGCCTTGTCTCTGCTGAAGCCTGGTGTGGTGCCTTCCTCTTGATTTGCTGTGTATCTTGAAACTCAAGAGACTTCAAGATTTGAAGTGCCTTGATTTACTGAAGGTGTTATCCTGCAGTCTAGCAGGCAGACAGCTGGGGATCAGGCATCTTTTGTGCCTGGAAAGAATACTTACGGTTCTGGTGTGTTTGATGATAGCAAAACTCCAAAGTGTCCTACGTTGCTGCCAAGCCATCAGCTGTCATGTTTGGGGGATCTGATTAAAAATTCCCTGCATTGCAAATATAGCATATCAATTCTAACTGAAACAAGCTTTTAAAAGGACCCATGAAAAAGGCTGGGTCTGAAACTCTTGTAAAAATATGCACATTATAAATAGATGTCTGTGTGTTTCCCCCCATGCAGCTCCCTAACACTGTTTACAGCAGATGAAATTTTATTCTGTCCAGGAGTTATTCTGTGTGAATCTAACAAATTTGGCATAGTAATTTGTTTTCTTTTTTATTAGCAAAAACCCAGTGAGGCCTTTTATTTATAGTGATGTGGCAGTTATCCTTGAGATCTTTATTCTGCCTTCAACATCAAGCTGAGCTATCTAATGAATCTATAACTGTGCTGGTAGTTACTCATATTCCATGTAGGTTGGAATATTTCTGAAGTACAAAACATGCTGTCAAGAAAACAGCAATGGCAAGAAAGTATAGCTTGTTTTTGCAAAGGTACCGCTGTATTCAATTTTAATCTAAATTGACTGCTGCTTTGAAAGAAAATACCTTTAAAGTTCAGCTTATCGTATATCTAGACAGTAAGATAACACAAAACCTAATTTACTAACAGTTTGCCTGTGTTTCTAACATGGTACTATTAGCACGTTTAGTGCAATCAAACCTAATGAAATAGAACGTAACTATGCTTGGAAATAAAGAACCTTTATCACTGAATACAGAAATGGCTAGTTCAAACAAATGTTAATAACAACAAATCAGTGAGATTTTGTCTACCTAATGAGACAATAGGTTGGTTGTGTTTTGCTTTTAAAGCCCACACAAAATTCTGATTAGCAGTAGCAATTTGTGTATCCGTCTTGAAAGGAGAACTATGCTGGCATAGCAAACTCTCCCTGTGACTTAGGAGTGAAACCTTCATTGGTTATTTCTGAATTTCAGTCAACTGTTTTTGTTCTAGAACTAAAAACACAGCATCCTACCAGACACTCTGGAGAAAATAATTCAATCCCAGCTGAAACCAAGTCAGTTCTGTATATAAAGGCTCATACGATGTGTTGACTATTAAGCCGAAGTCATATAGCATAAATATAATCATTATATTGCACCTCAACTAAGCACAGGACACGTTCAGGAGACACAAATATATGCTATGTATTTTTCTGTATTATTTATGATTTTGTATTAGAAACATGCAGTAAAATGGCTCAGAGCTATACCTGTGGAGTATACCAGTCAGAAAGTAAAGCAGATGCAACTTCTGTAACAAAAGGGCTTTATTTTATTGATGACATGGGAGGTTGACTCTTCTGCACGCTGCAGGAGAGTCAAACCCTCAGGGTTTTCAGACCCTTTTATTTAAAGTTTTTGAAGAAGTGTTGGTTGAAGGAGGCTCCTTAGACCTCAAGGCCATCAAAAGAAAGGTTCTGTCACCTGCTGACCTAAGATATAACAATAATCCCTGAAAAACTGAACTTCATTGTTGTCTGCCTAAGAGGACATAGAAAATCTGAGATAATTTAGTTGATCTCTACTGGACAAACTTGTTCAAACTGTATTTTTCTTATGAGTCACTTTTAATTGTATGGTTCTGGTGAGAACTTGATGTGTTATAAACTTTTTCATCTTTCTGACAGCTTTTGTTGCTCAAAGTCATTGTCAACTCTGCCTCAAAATGAAAGTTAATATGCACATTTGTGTTTGTACAAGCTGTCATATTTTAATTTCATCTATCCTACAACAACACTGTGTTTCAGCAGTGTTTGAAGAATTTGACTGACTGCAAACATGAACAACCTGTTGTAATTGAAACGATTTCATTTGTTTCATTGCTGCTCTACTTAAACTCCACAGCACAGCTTGAGGCAAGCCTTGGAACCTTTTATGCTCCAACAAGACCCCTCTTGGATACAACCGTGCTGGAGTACAGGGACCCCATCAGCAGATATGCAAGAAGGTTCTTCCACCACCTGCTCAGGTGAATGACAGTTTCAACTTCTATCAACTTAAAATTAATTGCATATTTCAATAACTGCCTACTTTAATGTGGTTAACGTTTTCCAAGAGGACCACCCCTGAAAAAAATGCATTCGTTGTTACTGTTTGTTTAACTTGCACTTCATTCCTTTCAAGTACAGTATTGCAGATAAAATGCTATTCAGAGCTCTTCTGTCATCAATGCACTTAAAATGAATCAAACTTTCCCTTTTAGCTTGATGGAAAGAAGATAGCATGCTTCTGAGAGATTTATATTCACCAACTGCTTGCAGGTTAACTGTTGAAACAACTTACAGACTTGGAGAAAACTTCAAGTTTAAATAGATGCAAATGAGCAATGTCTGATCCAAGACATTTTGTCATTGTCAACCTCAGAGGTCTCAAATATAAATTTGTATTTCAGTCATTTTGAGTGCAGCTTAAGATCTAAAAGTCTGTGCCATTAAATTATATAACATTAGAAAAGTCATCATACCAAATTCACCTAGAGTTTGTATTACCCTGATATATTGCTATACTTCTCCTTATATGCTTGGTATATCAATAGCATAAATTATGATCTATTGTAAAGGTCAATATACAGCAGTTCAGTCTTTTCATGTGTTGAACCACAAATACAAATAATATGTTCCCTCTAAGAATTATTCATCGAGTGAAAATACAAAGAAATTATGTTCTGAATAATAACCCAAATGTTTGTAGAGCCTTGTTGAGGAGGGGTCTAGATGGACATGGAAGACTTGCAATGCTTCATTTTTCTGTGTGCCAGCCAGATCATATACATCATCTATGTATGCAAAGCCAGGAACTGCATGTTATTTTGATGGCACAATGTAGTCTTCTTCCAAAACTTAAAGATAAATAATTTATCCTGTCATATAAATTTTTAGTGAGTATGAAGAGAATCATCTTTCTGCTAAACAGGTCCATACCCATGGGAAATTATTCTAAGTAGAAGAGTGTTCCAAATATTTGCATAATATGTACCAGCCCTTACTGGAGTTTTCTTCATAGATGTGGCCACAATACCAGGTACAAACTCTACTTTTGCCTTTGTCCTAGAAACCAGCAGGGAAGGTTTGTTGCTGCCGTGGCCAACTGTAATGGCTGAGGGCCAGTTGCCTGCAGAGGACAGACGCGGAAAGAATGCCTCAGAGATTGCTGAGAGGTGTAGTAACTATAGTGCACTTACATCTGCTGGAGAAAGGTGTATTCCCTCTGACTCAGGATTTGCTTCGAAATGCCAGCAGGCATGCAGAGGCACGGGGCCCTGGCTGAGCTTCCAGCCCTTGGGGCTGCTCAACACAGCTGAAATGCTGTCTCAATCTCTCTAGCAGACAAGAAGTTTCAGTGCCAGAGTGCTGCCTGGACAGTATGGGACACAAATTGGAGATGTATAGGAGAGTCTCCCTGTGTCTTTTACCTCCACTATAAAGCAGGCTTTGAATAATCTACTGGTATGGCAGTTTTTTGGAACAAATGAATGTTATTTTGCTGTTTCCCTATTGTCAAAGGGATTTGTATTCAACTGAATCAAAGTGATAGGATCATGTCTATGCTGCAGAACAGATGGTAATGCTTAAAGCTTATCTGAAAAGACATAATCTAAGTACAAAATGAAATGTACAAAAATGGCAGATTTATCTGATATAAAGCAAGGAAATGATGTCCAGAGATGATCTTTGTTGTATTAAAGTGGCTGTGCCTTAATTGGTATTTATTTCCTTTTAGATGTTTTCTTAAGTGACCAGAATGATTTGAATGTAGGCTAAACTGACAGTGCTGCTGATTTGTTGGAGAAATGGTAAACCAGCTGGATGATTCTGAGAGAGAGAGAGAAGGTCATCTAGGCCAATTCTCCTAGTGTCTGGGAAAATCGTAAGAAAGCACAATGCTCACTAATTTGTCTAGGCATGCAGAAGCTACAGTCTCTGCTGTTACATCCTTCTGTGATGAGCCAAGCACGGCTAGCCATTTCTGCCAGTCTGCGTTTATGAGTGTGGAGAGAGTTCTGCTCTTGCCTTTTTGGATCACCATATCTTGCACAACAGGACAATGGAAATTGAGTAGTCCCCCCTCTACCTGTTTGTTAGAAATGGCAACTCTATGTGCATGTCAGGAAGGCTGCATTTAAAGTCAGTTACACACGCTGTATCTCAAGCCATGTTATTCAATCCATTCTCTTTTTTAACCATATTTGCTTGGCACAAAATACCTGCATGTTTGTTACAAATAGTTAATGAACCTTTTCAGTGAATTTGTGCTACCACAGATATGTATGCAGGACTAAACAAAATAATAGCAAAATAATAGCAAGAAGACTTAAATGCAGATGCACTGTGAATTGTCAGTGCTAGTTTGATGCAGCACTAGGGGACATTTGTTGCCCTCTTGTGAACGTTTCCTAAAAGCAAAATAATCACTTTGTTCCCTGTTGCAGCAAGTAATGGAGAAAACACAGTGCTTCCTAAATTGTACAGCTGAGATTGAGAAAGTGTTTCCGACATACTGTAGGATCTTCCATAATTCATTTGGGCTTCAGAAAAAAGCAAGCAACATGTTCACAGAAGGTAGATGTAGAAGATGAGGAGCTGAAAGACACCGAGAGCCAAAAACTCAGAAGGGGGTTTGGAAGGGTGAGGCAAGTGGGGTTAGGAGCAAAAGGCAGGGAAATGAGGACAAAGGACTAAAGACAGATAAGGGAACAGAGAAATACAAAAGGGTAGAGTGGGAGTACGGATCAGAAGAGAATAAGACAGTGTAGGGTGTGTGTTGGCCTGCAGAGGAGACAAGAAGCACAGGAGATGGACAGAAGAGGGTTTAGTTTTTAATACAAGATTAAAATATTAAAATGCTTGTACGTTTGTAGATCTAAATCTGAAAAATGCTCAGATAAACAGAAGTGTTCACCCCCCCCTACCAGCTTTCTTTTGAATGCCCCACCAATCTGCCTTAAGCCTTTTCTAGAAGGACCCGCTTCTCTTGGGAGAGAAATATTAATTCATTCTACATGCTGAGACAATCTTTGACCTGCCTGCTGAGTCTGCCAAAAAGGTGCCAGTTATTGTACTTTTTAAGGTGCGAGTGTCTGTACTTACTAGAATTGAGAAATACAGTCACCTTTTCAAAAAGGCTATCCTCACCTCGTAATAATCATGAGCCAATGATTTTAATCTTTACTGCAGTCTGAAAGGTTTTATATATAGTTGAACATAACTGGCAACATCCATTTTCACATTATCAGTGAGATTATGGGCTAAGTATTTTTCTACCATCAGTTTCCAGAAAAAAAAAAAAAAGAACAGTGTGATAGTAGGTCCTGTGAACCATGTGAAGGCGCTCTGTAACTACAGTCTGCAGTACAAGATGGGTTAGAACATGGTGCAGCAGCCTGAGATGGGCATCATCTTCAGCTTCCACTAAAACAGAGATACAGAGCTTTGCTGGCATAGGCCCTGAATAAAGAATATGGAATATCTCCAAAAACAGGCGTTCAGTATACAGAATTAAAATTAAAGGCCTCTTAATTATATGCCAAGAATCCATTACAACAGTATTTATGGAATGAGTAATAATTTTCACTTTAAATTCTTATCTATAATTAAAAAATACAGGAACTGGATTGTAAATGCAAACCTATATCTTAGGTGTTCCTTGCCACTTGAGTAGCACTCCTGTATTTTATTATGATGTCACTACCTATAATAATATAATGCGTTATATCATTATGTAAAATGTTGAGCAGAGGTGGATTTATTAGGAAGCCTTGGGGAGCTGTAACCTTCTTGCCCCCACCCTTTTGTTGTGCACTGCCTACTAAGTGTATTTGTGTAATGGGGGAGTGGCTGCACAACCTCCTCCTGCTTCTGTATAACAGCCTCATCTGGCCATGTACGGAGCATGGAATGAGATGGAAGAGTTTTTCATTCATTAACTATGGCATCGCTGACTCATGGCTTTGCTTCACTCTGATCAAGCATTCGTAAATTGTACTTGCCATATTTTCTAATGCATGAAATTATCTTGCTTGTTTGACACACACACGCAGGCACAAACACATGCCTGCCCTGTTTTATTCAAACCTTTCTGCCTCTTTCAAACAGACAGTGAAAAAAATAACATACCATGAGCTGGAAGCAAAGGCTGGATTGGCAAGTAAAGGCTGAAATGCAGTTGGGAAGTCAGAGAATTAGAATTAGAATGTGCAGCACCGTGTTTCTGCTGTTTTGTTCATGTGTTTCTGAACATACAATTTAAGGATCTGTTTTGGTTTGGTTTTTTTTTTTTTTCATTGAAAAACACTGAAATCAAAATGATTTGGATCTTATCATCTAATAATTCCATTACCCATCCCTCTTCCACCAGCTTCAAGGACAAATACAATTCCTTATGAAGCAAAGCTCTGTTCTAAATACCAGGATAATGCATTTGTCTTTTTCAAGAGTAAAGTGCAGTTCTGATCACATCTACTGACATAATTTTGAATATATTCACAGAACTATTCTGCTTTCTCCAAGTCTAAAATTGAAAATGATGTGTTTCTGCTGTTACTGGTTTTATTCCTTCATAAATCTTTTCAAAAGTGTTGTGTACTCTTCTCACTATTCAGTGTGAGATGCTATTGGTTAAATGCAAAGAAGAATTGAGCTACATAGTGGGCAGAACATTCATGAAATACAGGAGATGAGAAAGTAGGTGATCCTTAGTATCAAGGGACAGCTGTTTCTAGCCAGTACTGGTTTTGTGAATCACTTTGCTATTCAAGAGTTGTGAAGTGCACCACTATACTACCTGACATGATTATTTGACATAGTTATCACTTACTTCCAAGACAGACTTTGGGAAACTAAAATAGAGCTCTTTCCTTCTGCAGCAAGATCACTTACACAGTATGAACTAAACCTTTGTAACAGGTTCTTGTATCTCTAAAGTATCTCTAAACTGCGATCTGCAAAGTAGGTGTGCACCGTGAGTGTTCCGTCCTAAACAGGACCCACAAATCAAAAGGTGAGAAAATGCCTAGACTTCATAGTAATTCCTCATCCCATTTTCTGCCAACTGTATGGAACTGAGGGACAAAGTCAGCAAAGAGCTTTTATGATCCTTTAAAGAGCACCCTAAAAGTAGAATCTATAATTATATTGGTACATAGTGTGTCACGAAATATGTATAAACATTAATGATGACATGATTCAGGACTGAGAATGTCTTTTATATTCATAAGGTAACCTATTAGGCATTAAATTATGCCTTCAGATAAAATGACCACTGATGTCAGTCAGGTTCTCTATGGTGGCCACATGAGCGGAATTCATCTCCACAGGAGTAAGTTCAGTAGCAGCGTTCTGACTAAAGTAGCACCTTCTGGAGAGAACTTTGAAGAGTCATTTTTTGTCATCTTGCCAGAACGATCAAAACCAAAGGTTTTCATATTGCCATGGCACTGATAAATGAGAACTTCAATGACTGTGATGGACCTGCACATGAATAGATCCCCTGGTCATGCTTCTTGACCCGTTTGTGAAACATGAAATAAAGGCACCTATTCAATGGAACTAGATAATTTTTTTAGTTAAAGAGATATTTAAATCTCAGGAAAAGTTTAGAATATCTTTGCTTCATCCTATGTTGCCAATGATTTTTTTTTTTTTTTTTAATTAAACCACCTCCACAACAGGTTTCATTTTCAGTTAGATGCTTTGATGCCAGAGAAATGGCTTTAGGATTTAGTTCTCTAGTGACGATCACAATGTAAAAAATATTGAGCAAAGTATCATGAAAAAAATGCAAATAACATGATATCATTACTTGAGAACAAAATCCCTTGAAGATAATATGCAAGAAAACTTCTTCAGAGATTTGGGTCAAGATATTCTGCTGAACCAAATGGAAGGCGTTTGGAGGATGAGACAAGTGGCCCTTTTGGCACACTCAGAATAGTCCCAGAGCTACTCTGCAATGGAGCAACTTCCCCCAGCCATGACTGACTGGCTGTTTGGTGGTGCCAAGTGTCAGAACTCTTCCAAATCTCTGCCTTATCCCCACCCCTGAGGCTGCACTTTAAGAAAAAAGAGGAAAACAAAATAGCCATACTGGACTAATGTTCTTTGTGCCAAGGCTATTCCCACATGCTGGCTAACGTGACTTAGGTATTACTACTGTTAGAAGCTGAGTACAAATGGCAACCATTATTTTGTTGTGTTGTGTTACGTAACTGATAATCTGCCCTCATAAAGTCTCATTTCTTTCTGTACAACTGTGCAAGTCCCCTGAAGTCTGAGGGGCTTTGGGCATACATCAGTTGTGAAAACAGTACAAAAATGTACCATATTTGTGGATGGAAACTCAAGAATAAGTTCACACCAACATAGCTTCATATTTAAGCAGTAAGCAAGCCTCAGCTTTTCATTATATGTCAATGTCATCGTTTACTCCTTCCTCAACAACATAGTCACTGATGGTGATTCCTGGAGTGACACTCAAATACCTCTTCTTGAAGTCCTGACCAGGAACCTTAATTTAAGCTGGTTTTTTTTCCTTGCAGTCTTTTCACATTGATTCATGTCTCATCTCTTTACCAAGACATTCTTTCTCCATTCATCTTCAGAGCCTTCCTGAATCCCACCATCACAATTCACTTTCCTCTGTGTGGACCAACTGGCAGTATTCTGTCTTAAGCTCTGCTTGTGAGATCAGAACAGAACCTTGGCAATCTGTAATCTCTTTGTTGTGTGCAAAAATTGTTGTTTTTTTTTTTTTTTTCCTTGAAGAGCTTCATTTTTCTTATTATTCTCTCTCTTGCATTCAGTGTTCTCCAAGAAGTGCTAATTGAACAGTCATATAACCCTAGACCCCTGTCCTCAAATGCAGAGCTCCCTTTTATTGTTCTTTAGAGCTTCTTAAGGAAAGGGTACAATATGTAAAATTTAGAAGAAAAGTCAGCATAGTTAGTTGTCCAATAACTGAATGTAGCATTGTGGGATTTCACCTCACCTCTCTGAACTCAATCATGTAGCATTTGGATGTCCTACACACTCATCTGTGCTGTGGTTAGCAGAAGGATGTGGGCACCCAAAGGATGAGTAAGCCCATTGAAGGAAGATATCTATGATAAGCACGAAGAATCAAATGTCTGCCTATCTCTGTCAATTAACTATAAAGGAAGCCTACCTGATTAGCCATGTAAAAATGAGCTATTTGAAGATAAAGGAAATGATTTGCACTGTGTCTAGCTCCTCTATCTCATTATTACTGGCCAGTTATCAGAAAGATAAGTGTTCAGGTATAGTTACTGTAATAGAAGGAGAGAGGTACAAAGCCTAAAAAAATATTTGAAGAAGGGTTCACAGAAAGATACAGAAACCTGGTAGGTACACCGATCTCTTGAAATCCCCTTCAAACCAGTTGACCAGGACAGGAGTGGGCAGGGGCATTTCTTTTCACAATTGTTTGACTATTGAAGACCTTTTTGGAATTTCTCTCACCAAAATGTCTTAAAGACACAAAGATACCATAGGGCAAGAGAACCCTTTTGCAGATAGATAATTCATTAGAAGGTAAGAAACAGAGATCAATGTCTCGTTGAGTAGAAGTCACCAAACATAGGTGCAGTAGACCTATACGCATAAGTAATGTGGAAAAGGAGCAAATAGTAAGGTGCCAGTATTTGCTAATGATCAGGAATTATTCAGATTAGTAAAAATAACAGCAAAATTACTTCACAGGACTCAGTTACATAGTGTCAAAATAATAGAAATTAAAGTTTGATGTAAAGAAATTCAAAGTGAAGCACGTGGCAAGGCTTGACTTCCAACTTCATGTGTAAAATGGCTGAGTCTGAAATTCTTTGTAAAGAGAAGTATAGTCATATAACTGATGGTCAATTCAGTGCTCAACACAAGCACGGAATGCCAGGAATTTTTTAGAAAAACTAGAAAAAAAACAGTAAACTTCAGTTTGCCTGAATCATGAATATAACGTATGGTTTTGGAGTTCCACGATCTGTAAGAGGATGTAGTAGAACTCAAGGAGCTGTAGGAAGGACAGCTGGGGTGATTAAAGGCATGAAGGGAATGACTGAACAGAACTCCTCAAGCTATAGAAGAGGCAACTGAGATACAGATCTATTAAATCAATCAGCGTTAGGGAGAAAGAGGACTGTAAATGGATGTTGCTGCTTCTTCTAGTACAACAGCTAGGAGTCATCAAGCAAAACTAGCATGTGGCAGGTTCAAAATGAAATGATTCTTGACATAGCATATAATTAAACTATGAAGCTCCTTACCACTGGATGTTATGGATGGTAGAACTGCATATGAGTTCAAAGGGAAGATACAGGAAAGAGAAATTCACTGAGGAATACCAGCGTAGAAACCACCTGTAGCTCAGAGAATCACTGGACCACAAATTGTTAAGTATTACTAAGGTAAGTATCACCTTAGGCTTGCCTAGTTGTTACATTTTCTCCTAGGTGCCTACCTATTGGTATGATACTATGTTAGATTTGTCTTTGATCTAA